AGGGAAAAATCTGCATTTTTAAAATAGTCTTACACAATTTCCATCCACAAAGGTAACTAAGACTACATGTGTAAGCAACACTGACTGTCTCAGTTGCATCTCAACACTGACACATATGTCCCAGATGGATGTTACATAATGTTTTTGTAAAATAGGCATTTTCCAGTGATTTCTGAAAGTACAATTGGGTATGCTGATGTAGCTTGCTCCAGAAAGAACACTGTGTGCCCTAGACCCACTGCAATGAGAAGAATTCCAAAGTGCCATGCAAAATGTCACCTTATCTCACTTAAAGTTATTTCATCTAGTAATATCAGAGAAATTACAACAATATGTTGTTCTACATTAAAGTACATGACAGTATTATCTGTGAGACCTGGCAGCTGCCACTTTTGGCCGAGCAGATGGCAGTGATAAAAGCACAATGCAGGGAACAGGTTGTTAAAGACATATCCGTCATTACACTGTCGTTGCACAATTACACTCAGCTCCAAGATGCCATCAGAATGCATGGCTGTGTCACTCTCAAGCAGGAAGATATTGCTTATCTGAGGAAAATTATGTATAACAATTAATTCTGTACATATTATTAACCAGATTCATTCATCTCCTGTTCAGAGGAGCAGAAAAAGCAGCCAGGAAATACATCCTAAGTCTTTAAAGTCTTATGTGTTGGTACTTTGCAGAAGGAGAGACAACCATTCATCCCCTGTAAAGGAAAATCAGAGCCAGCCGTGGCTTTCTTAGCAGCCATCAATTTATACTCCCATTTAAGGGCCAGAGGGCATGTTACCTCCCATTTTCACTTTATTACCTTTTTTTTGCAGGGAGGTGGGGGTGAGATGTAGAGGAGATATTAAATGAGTGTATTGCCCAAGGAACGTACCAGTCAACCACTCCTGGAAGCAGAAACAGGCTAAGGCACAGGTGGCAGGGCAGCCTGTCCCCACTCCATCCTTGCCCGTGGCCACTGCCAACACTGACAGGCACTTCTCTGCTGCTGTGATGACCAGTGAAGGCATACACCCAGGCATTCAGAAAGCCCGGGAAACAAGGAAATAGACCACCTCCCCTGGTCCAGAATCACAGAATGGTTCAGGTTGGAAGGGACCACAAATGGGTACTCTGGTCCAACCTCCCTGCTCACGCAAGGTCATCCTAGAGCACATGGCACAGGATTGCCGTGTTCTGGAATATCTCTAGTGAGGGACACTCCACACCCTCTCTGTGCAGCCTGCTCAGTGTATGGCCACTGTGCAGGAAAGTTCTTCCTCATGTTCAGGTGGGACTTCCTGTGCATCAGTTTGTGCCCACTGCCTCTTGCCCTATTGTTGGGCACCACTGAGAAGAGCCTGACTCCATCTTCTTGGCATCCTTCCTTTAGGGAGCGTGTTAATTCCAAAGTGCCAGGCTGCCAAAAGGGACATGGCATTCCTGAGGAGTTGAGCAGCATCCTAAAACCCTGAGCAGAAGGAATACTGTAAGAAATAAATAAGGCGGTTTTATTACAAGCAGGAGTTTCCATGGTCGACTCATGTCAGGATGCCTGGAAGCTGTATTGTTTGGGTGGTTGGAGAGTCATTTAGTTATCAGGGACTAAAAGTTTGCTTGCAGCTACTGCTGCTTACTTACTGCTGTTTGCCGTTACTTATTGCTGTTGCCTATAGTTACAGTACAGAGGCCAGCCAGGAGGCCGGTAAGACAATGGGACCAGCCAGGGCTCACTGCCGAGGGACCACGCGGCCAGGACAGGTGACAGGTCAGTTAAGACAACCAATGGACTGGCAAAGGGCAGTGCGAGCCAGCCCTGAGACCCAATCGAGTCCAAGAAGAGGGGCTATATCACCTTTTAAAGAAGAAAAGGAGCGGGGCTCGCCATGGGAGGAGCGAGGGCACGGTTATGTAAATCAAGAAACCTGAAAAGGACTTGTCCCTCCCATTCTCGCTGTGCTCGGACCTGCCGATTCATCCAACGCGTTGTAATTAAAGTTCTTTCTTTCACTTTATTTGGCCGTCTTCAAAATTTTAATTAGAGATATTTCTCACAATACCTTTAGCGTTACTGTTGTGCTCCTGCAGTGACTGTCCAAGAAATTAGTCAGTGTAAGTACAGACCTCATTAGGGTAGCAGAGAGGACCTGGTCACAGCACAACTGGGATGTGAGACTGTCCAACAGCAGTTTCCTCACAGATTCCTTTTTGCCCACTCTGATCATCTATCAGAGAGGCCACTGAAGAAGCCCCCAGAGAGCTCCTGTGCCTATGCATTGCTGACACTGAACGAGCAAGCAGTGATGCTGGAACCAGACCCAGGGCGCTCGGGATTGCTGGACATGATGTGGCACTAGAGACAGTTTCATCTTCAATAAAAAATCCAGACAAGGCAGCCCATCGGACACAATTTTGCCCTTAAGCAGTGCAAGCAATTTAAACATCCTGACTTGGATTTATATATTTGGGGCATCTGTTTAGTTTTTATTACTCCTGGCCTCAGTTCTCACACTCCTTCACAGATCAAATAACTGCTTTCCCTACTTGCTAATTCCAACAGCTGGTTATTACTCACCAGACTCCTGCTATACTCGCCTGGGGAAGAATCATAAATAAATGTGTACAAGCTAGCAGATGTTGTCATTTTAAAAACTCATCCACCTAGTAAAAACATTCTACTTTGGACTCAAGTGGTGAATCATTGAGCATGTGTCTTGATGTCATTTTAATAAAATCCAAAACCAATCAAAGGACTTTGTTCATTCATTCCAATTAGCAAATGAGGAAAGAGTGCTATAAAGGAGAATATTGTTACAAATAAAAAATGAAATTCTGAACAGGCCAAACACCTTTCCAATGAAGACAAAGGCAAGATAAGACATAGAGCATTTAAAAAAAAAATATCTGGTATAACCAATCACTTTTCCACCACTGGCAGACAAAGTAACATCAACTGTGGGTCCTGGAATCTGTAACTGTAAACAGAGGAGAGAAATACAGATGGTTTATCAGACTTATATTATCTCCCTTAATTGTGTGCCTGTTTGTTTGGGTTTTTTTTAATAGGTAATTTCTTTCTGAATGTCAGTGCTAGGAGAAAGTGAGCTGCCTGGAGCATATCTAAAAAATAAACAGAATATAAGGGAGAAGAAAAAGTGTTAACTAAAACCCAGGAAGCAGAAGAGAAAACCTTGGTACCAACTCTTCTTCTGTGTTTTAAAAGGGACATCTTTCTGCAAGGTAAGGCAATTTGGCTTCCACAATCTTAAAAAAAATTACTTCTGATCAAAACAGCACAAGCTTCAGCGATGGTGGCATAATCCACAGAACTCTTTTATGTCCATTCCTGCAGGTTAAACAGACAACAATAATCTTTGCTCCTTGGCAGCAGGAATTAAATTCTCTCTTGCTGACTTAAAATGGAAATGTCTAGCACTGAAATCGTCCACTTTGTTGGTCAGATAGCTGACACAAAATCTCTGCAGTAGTTTACAGGCATTTCAAAATTAGCAGGTATTACTCTGAGGTTAGCTGCTCTGAGAGCAAAACTTCCCAATTCAGCCTTTCCAAATCTTTTGGGTTTTTTCCCAATAAAGATAATTTCAACCAAGTTACTATGATGCAGCATGACATTATGAGCTTTTAGAGGATTTTCCTCCTAGACTAAAGGCCAGACACAATACAAGACAGTACACACCTTAAGACCAGTCTTCATTAGCTCAGCAGATATACAGCCCTTTCAAGACTACTGATGCTGCATCAACGTTCAAACCACTGTATCAAAATCTGACTGACTAGAAATAATTGTCTTCCAGTGTATGCTCAAAGAGGAACACTAAGCCTCCCTGAATACCCAAAAACTAAAATCTACTCCCATTTGGTTCTTCACCTACAGTAAAACTGATAAACCTCATCGTGGCCTCAATGCCTCACCACTGTACTGGTATACATGTTCAGAACTTGGTGTTATTTTAAATACCAGACAGAAAATCATAATCTTCAAAGCACAATTTGTGAAAATATAATTAATATTTAAACTAGGAAAACTACTCTTTGATGAGAATTGTATTAATCAACTTAAATACAAATATCAAAGTTAACAGAAATTGCAATAAAAACAGGACAGTCCATGAGCACAAGACTAGAACACTTGCTAGCATCTTAAGTTACAAATACTGAATACAGGGTCTAACAAATTCTCCTTGCCAGTTAAATACTTTCTCCTACAGCAGCATATATTAACATTTAGTAGTCAAGGAGGAGAAAATTCTGAATGAAGGTGCTAAAATCACACTGTCACAGGAGGAATTTATGGTGCCAAGAGAAAGGTAGTCAGAAGACAGAGAATAGATGGGCCAGTGTGATAAGCAATGCTCAAGTCTGAAGTGTGAGAGCAGAAGTGATCCTTCAAGGGGAGAGCTGGGAGTGGGGGGAGAGCCACCTGCAACAGCAACAGGAAGACTCACACCATTTAAATTTTTTTTTTTTTTGGAAAGCACTAGTGACTGAGCATGGACAAGGAAGAGTGAGTGTCTCAATGCAAAAAGTGATGATTTTAACTTTTTCTGTAAATGTAGGATTTTGCATCACGTCTGAAGATTTCAAGCCTGGCCAAATAACACTTTTTCATGAGCTACAAATTCCTCATTTGTTGTTATGATGGTTTAGACTTTGGTTCACCATGTTAAGATATTCCTCAGTTGCTGAATTTTAAGTGAAATACTTTTTGTCTTTGCAGTCAAGTATTACGCCCTGAGAACATGTTCAGGGCACATTATCAAAGCAAGCCGTGGCTGAATGATGCCGTGCCCGGTGCGTTAGAAGACTGAGGTGTATATTCCGAGCCCATTAACATCGAGCAGCCGAGCCAGCGAGAGGACACGGGCTCGGGGTCGCGATGGGCTCCGCTCGGGCTCCTCGAGCACACGCGGGGTCCCGAGCAGGGACGTTTCTTTCCAGCACAGAAGGCCAGCAGGGAACAGCGCATCTCCCCGTGCTCCAGCAGTCACCCCCTGCTTCCAGAGCGCAGGCAGCCACCTCCTCATCAGAGAACGGGACCTTCCCCGAGCCTGTGCGCTCCCCTTTACTGAGAACGGCAACGTCGGTCCCAGTCAGTCAATTCCAGCGGGCTCGCTGGTCAAGGGAGCGAGTGACACATGCAGAGATGGAGCTTTGCGGTACGAGACAGAGAACGATGCCGGCACGGTAGGGCCGAAAGCGCGGACCGCCGCGCCACCCGGGCTGGCCCCGCCGCCCCTCGAGGCCAACGCTCCTCCCGCGCCCGGCCCGGCCCGGCAGCGCCCCCGCGCGGGCGCCAGCGGAGATGCGGCCATGGCGGCGGCCGGCGGCGCGGAGGGCGCAGGCAGTGGCCCCGCGCTGTGGGCCGAGGTGCGGGCGCTGCTTCCTTGCGCCGAGGAGGGGCTGACCTTGGCGCTGAGCGGGGAGGTGGAGGGCTGCGTCCTGCCGCTGCTGCGGCGCGCCCGCGCGCTGCTCTACAGCCAGCCGGGCCCGCCCGAGGCGGCGGCAGCGGCGGCGCTGGGGCGCCTCAGCGACGTCCTGCGCGACTATTCCTGGGAGAAGCTGAACGCCGTGCCTTGGAGGGAGGTCGGCAAGGGCTGGCGGCAGGTCTACGCCTACGGCTGCCTCTTCGGGGCCCTGGCCGAGGTGGCCGCGGGCCGCCCGCGGGCCGCCGTGCGCCTCTGCGACCTGGGGCTCCTGCTCGGTGCCGCCGTCCTGGACAACGTCCTGGCGCGCCTGGTGCGCGCGCTGCAGCTGCGCCTGCCCCGCCAGATGGCGCCGCGGGACCGGCCCCGCGCACAGGTACCGCCCGCCCCCCCGCCCGGGTCACCCGCCTCGAACCCCCCTCCTTCCCGGCCTCGAACCCCCCTCCTTCCCGGCCTCGAACCCCCCCTCCTTCCCGGCCTCGGAACCCCCCTCCTTCCCGGCCTCGAACCCCCCCTCCTTCCCGGCCTCCAGCCTCCACGGGGGTCTCTGCCGCGTGTTGAGGGGGAACGTCCCTTCCAGAGGGTCCGGCCGGAGCGGCCCCCGCCGCCCCTCACGGTGCAGCCGGAGGAGGCGATTCCACACCTTCACTGCCCTTCGCTGGAGCACTTCAGAGACAACTACCTCCTTCCCGAGCGGCCCGTGGTCCTGGAGGGCGTCATGGACCACTGGCCGTGTATGAAGAAGTGGAGGTGAGAAAGAAGTTTCTTCCTTGTCCAAGTCAAGGTACGATCGTTCCCTGTGTTGGGTATCTTGGTGATCGGTAGAGCAGCAGAGACCTTTGCAGAGGATGGACACTGTGGGCAGTGAGTTTTGCTGGCAGCACCTTTCTACTTCTCTGTGGAAGTGGCTTCATAGATAAGGGAAGCATTCAGAGCATCACACAGCAAGAGCCAGACTGAGCCAGGGCGAAGGTGACCCTCCGCCCAGCCTGGGGCTGTCCCGGGAGCCCAGTGGCGAATCGGTGGTGCAGTGTGTTGCTCAGCTGGGAACTCAAAAGGATTGCACGTTGCAAAGTGCCAGTGGGCTTCTCACAGCTCAGTGGGTCTGTGATTTTTACCCCTTGGAATGTGTCGATAATCAGTGCAATGGGAAGTGAATTTCAGAGCCATGAGTCACCATGATTGACTTTTTCATTCACAAGTGCAAGCCCTGATGTTTGCTCACTGTCATGTTTGCATGTTGAGTTTCAGCCACCACCATGCAGGAGTGAGTAATAGCATTGTGCTGCCTGCCTAATGTAAGCATCAGTGCACTGAGTATTTGTGAGGCGAAGCTCATGATTCCTTACAAAAGGGGAAAAAACACTCATGCATAGTTTGAACAATTGCTTTTGTTCAACAGCCAAGGGTACAATTGACATTAAGTGAACACACTTGCTATTTTTAGGGATTTTATTCATTTTTGAGGGAAGGTACTCCACTGGGTAACTTTGGACACTTTTTAAAAGATTAACTCCTCCATTTACATAATACCATTGTCCATGGAGAGATGTGTTCCACCCATTAGAGTAATCCCTCTGGCTGTAACCAGGATGTATATTCTTGGCACCTGTGTAGGGAATTTGACACTGGCAGAGAGTTGATCTAGTATTAATGATAAAAAGATACATTTTATTTAGCAAACATGGCAGCAGGCAGTAAGAAGATTGGCTATCCCTCACCAAGAGAGACTTAATAGCTTAAATCTCCTTAGCTCCTAAGGAAACCACAGTTAACTGAGGCAAACAAGATTTTAAACCAAAATAAAATAGACAGTTGTGGGATAATGTACGCACAAACCAGCCTGCTGATTTCCTTGCCGCTTACATTGTTTTCTGCTGCCTTTTGTCTCTGGTTGGTTGGGTTTAGAGACAAGAAACTTGTGGTAGTAGAATTTTATTACCCTACAGGACTGATTTGGATTGATTGCCTTACATTCACAATTACTAAGAAAAGAAGTATAAAATGTAATTGAACTTTTCTTTATTTCAGCGTGGACTATTTTTGTCAAGTCGCAGGGTGCCGCACAGTCCCCGTGGAGTTGGGTGCCCGGTACACAGATGAGGAATGGTCTCAGCAGCTCATGACTGTCAGTGACTTCATCAGCCAGTATATCATGGATGAGGTGTGTTGCACTCATTTTATTTCATCTCCAAACACAGCAGCATAGTACTGTTACAGACAACAGTTCTGCTTCCAACAAACATCCTCAAAGGTGATGGTCAAGGGAGAGGGTGTGCTGTAAGCACAACTCTGAATTAAAAGGCTTGACATATTTTCAAGATCTGAAGCTAGAAATAGTTATTGAAACAATACCTAGGTTTGATTTTTACATATAATCGAATGTACAGCAGCTGGAATTTGACAAATAAATACATACATTCTACAGCAAAAGCCTGACTGGTGGAGTCTAAGTATTAGGGATCCTCAGCCAGCAGGATCAAGATCCAAATTCACATGCCACAAGGCAGAAAAATAAAAATCAATTAGCAGTTGGAATGTCCTTTTGCTTTCACAGCTGAGAATCCAAAGCTCCTCTTTCTGTTTCCTGACCTTCTGGCAGGTAGTACTGTGTGCCGTAGCAAACTGCTCTGCAGTGCAGCCCGGAATAGAGTATGGAGGTAGTTCCAAAGAGTGAAGGAGAACTGGTCTGTGTGCCAGTAGTGTCTGGCTATAAAGATGCAGCACATGCTCATGGGACTGACAAGAGTGTTGAGAGTCCATGGGGTTATAGCTCAGCTTCCTCCAGTTAACTCGAGCTAGATGACTTATTGATTATGGAGACACATATACACTCTTGCAATTTCAGTGGAGCTATAAATTGCTATTTCAGAAGACCCCTTATACTGTTGAAACAGTTCTCTGAATAGGATATTGGAAGTGGATGTTACCTATAAGTAAATTCTGTTCACCTGTAAGTAAATTAACTGACTGAGAAGTCATACACTATATGTCGCTATGTGTTTTTTATTTCTCTGCTGTCATTTCAGAACAGTGTAGGATACCTTGCCCAGCACCAGCTTTTTGATCAGGTAAAATTGAGTGAATGTTTTAATCTACGGTAAAGTGTTCCCTTCAACTGTACTAGATCAAAGGGTATATGAAGAACTCACGGTAATTATTAAGTTTCTGTTCCCATGATTTGAAAGAACGGAGGAAGAGGTTTGTTCCATTTGGCTGAAAAATATGGAAATAAACCGCTCTAGGGATTAAGGTATGCAATCCTAGTGCTGTAAGCATATACTTACCAGGATAATCACTCAGAAAGTAGCAGTTCCTCAAATTCAGGGAAGAGGTTTGGACAGGGAACAGTGTTCAGCGTTGATCACCATAATCTGAAATGTCATTCCAGTTTACCAGAATTTAGGTTGATGGGAGACATAAAAAGGAATCTCATGGAGAAACAAGCATAGCATATAAGGGATCAGCTGTTTCTTTTCCATGAACCGCAAACCTGCTTACTCTCGTGTGTGTCTCTGGTTTCTGCTAAGGCAAAGATCTCTGAAGAAAGAGAAACCTCTTTTTTTCTCCCACCTCTCCTTCCAGCAGAATCTGCTCACTAGAACAGAAAGTATGAGGACATTTCCTGCAGATTCCTAGCAGGTCAGCTATTTTTCTCCTGCCCTTGCTGGACAAGCAGGTCATTTGTTTTCTTTGTGTCAAGCCTCGTCCATCTGTTTGATGAATTAATTATGTTTGGCAAGTCAGCATGTATCCTTTTTAATGTTTATTTCTTTATGGAAATAGATCCCAGAACTGAAAGAAGATATCAATATCCCTGACTACTGCTGTCTGGGGGAAGGGGAAGAAGATGACATCACCATTAATGCTTGGTTTGGTCCAGGAGGCACTATCTCACCTCTTCATCAGGATCCTCAGCAAAACTTTTTAGCCCAGGTATGTACTCTAGTTACTCTACACATGCCATTAATGCAATACTTATTAAAAATGTTTATGGTATGTAAGTGTTAGAGACAAGGGATGCAGAAAACTCGAGGAACAATTAAAGGATAGAGAACATGCAGGTACTATTTTGTTATTACATTGCATTTGTCGTTACTGCAACCTAATGTTCAGTGTAATCTTGTAGGCCACAAGTGTTCCTCATTGAGACAGACCATTACTTACCCTTGTTTCACAGATGATAAATAGAAATCACAAGAAGCAGCTTTTCCAAAGTCACACAGGGAGTTTGTAACAGAGTTGGGAAGAACCTGGATCCTCTCACAGTGTATCAAGGAGCTTCTTTTTCTGATGTCATGGTTTAACTCTAGGCAGCCCCCAAGCCCCACACAGCCATTCACTCATCCATCAACCAGCAGGATCGGTGAGAGAATCAGGAAAGTGAAGATAGAAAACTTCTGAGTTGACATAATAACACTTTCATAGGTGAAACAAAAGCCATGCACACAAGCAGAGCAAAACAAATAATTAATTCAGTGCTTCTTATGGGCAACAGGTATTCAGCCACCTCCAGGAGAGCAGGGCCCTATCATGTGTAGCAGTGACTGGGGAAGACAAATGTCATCACTCCAAACATTTCCCCCTGCTTCCTCCTTCTTTCCCCCAGCTTTACATACTGAGCAGGATGTCATAAGTCTGGAATATCCCTTGGGTCAGTTGCAGTCCCAGTTTTGTCTCCTCCCAACCTCCCACGCGCTCCCAAATCCCTCCCCAACGTGGCCACACGAGGGGCAGGAAAGGCTTTGGCTCTGTGTAAACCCTGCTCAGCAATAACAAAAATGTCTCTATATTATCAACCCTGTGTTCAGCACAGATCCAAAACACAGCCCCACATCAGCCACTGTGAAGAAAATTAATTCTCCCCTGGCCAAAACCAGCACATCTGGAATGCAAGATTTTGAGGGGGCCTTAGGTGCATACTTTAATCCACATCAGGTTACCCAATAAAATATCTATTCATGCATGCAGAGAGATATGAATTAATATTTGCACTGTGGCCTCATTTCTGCTGAGTTTCTCTTGGTAGGCTTTTTGATGATGACTTTTAGTGCAGAATAGCCCAATAAAATACTGGGGCCCTGTGGTACTAAACAAGCCTAGAAAAGTCTTCTGGGTCCAAGCAGTTGACAACTGTAAATCCTCAAATGCTGAGAGGTGTCTTGCTTACTGGAAAGAGATTGCTGTCCCATCAGACTCTAACAAAAAATGGCTTACACTTTCACACATTTTCCAGCAGGATTGTGACATTGAACACTTTATACTTGTGCTTATTTATAGGCTGAGCCTTAGTTTCTCTGTCCCAAACAGCTGCATCTTGTGAACCTGTGTTTTCATTTGGAACTGAGACTTAATTCAGGCCTTTCTAAAGTAGGTTTTTACAACTGCTGTGCAACTCTATACGGATTGTATTTCTCTTCCCTGCTACCTGCCTGGCATGCACACACAGCTGCACTCTGAAAGCAAAGTACTGTACTATACACTCTGTGTAAAGCTTGAGGGAGATTTTTCTAATGGAAGTCAATTACAGGAGCTGTTAGACTGAGAAAAGATACTTCCCTCACAAACCTCAGAACTTGTTTTCTTCTGCTCGAAGAATGGGAGAGTATCTGCCAGTGCTGTGAAAGTCTTGGTGATTTGAACAGCAGGTGATCTGGCAGTTTTCAGCTTTCAATTAAAACTGCGCTGCCTCGTGATGCCATTCAAAGTGTGGCTGTAGAGTAGAGGAAGGCACAAGCGCAACTAAACAAAGTGCATTGATCCCTGCTGGCTGGGTGGTGGCTGCTGCCGAGATCATAGTGTTTCCAGTAATGAGGAAACCAGTAGCTGGAGATGCAGGATATTGCCCATTAACTGGTGCCTACAACCTTATAATATACAAGGCCTTGCCCATGAGGCAAGTGAAGAAAGGAGCTGTTAACATCTGGTGACAGTCCCCCAAAAAGTTCAGGTATTCAAAAAAATGTGCTGTTGGAGCAATAACCAGCTTTTTTGTCACTTCCGTACATCATCAAAAATGCCATGTAACACTGGGGTCTTTAGAGAGCTAATTAATATCCATAATCCTCTTAGGGTATGGAAGGCATCCTAAAAATGCATGTACAGCCAAAGTTATTCAGATCAATACTCTAGTAGTTTAACCAGTGATAGTGAAGAGTAGGACAGGGCAGGAGTACGTTGGTACTTATCCAGCCTATAGAATATATTTATTTGCTGTCCTTGAAGCAACAAACTCTGAATATTCAGTATGACAGCTTGGGTGTTGGTAAGATTTCAGGAAATCCTATTCTATTATGTGGGAAGGGATGTTAAGATAGAGGAAAAGCAGGTTGCTCGGGAATGGTTGAGTAGCATAACACCAGTCCAGGGTACTGTGATTAGAGTACTGACTTATCTCTTAACAGGACAGTTCCAAACAAGCATGATCATGCCTAGCCTTTGAGAAGATCTGGAATGCTGGCACAAGCAGCATGAATCTTCATGCTAAGCCTTCTGTTCCACTGGTATAAGTGCAGGAATCAGCTTTGACTCTTTCATGCTGCCATTTCTGGGCACTGACAACTTGTAGTTCGTGTGGTGTTCAGGGCAGCCAAGCCAGTCAGCTTACAAATTGTCATTTCAGCACTCTAGTGAAAGAACTAGTTTAATGATGACACAGGAATAAGAGTTTTAGGAGCATATCAAAGCTTGGCAGTCACTGTGTAGGTATCTCTGCCTGACGATATGAACTGCAATGAAGATTCAACCTCTTTATTCTCAGTTCTACTTATTTCTAGCTACATAGAGCCCAAATAATAATGTATAAATTGGGTGCCTCAAAGTTTAAATTGAAAGTAATTTGATTAAAGGCATTTCCTTCCTAAAGGCATTCAAATTCTTATCTGCTCCAAGGAACAGGTACTTGAATTTCAATAGTTTGATTTAACTTTTTATTATAGCAGTGTCTATAACTAACAAAGAGGATGTTCCTTGTAATTAGGTATATTTACTGTTAAATGCCAGGTGTGGCCCACAGCTTCCAGTAATGTACTGCTTAATGATAAATGGAAAACATTTATTTTACTATATACAGGTATTAGGAAGAAAGTATATCCGTCTGTATTCACCACAAGATTCAGAAAACCTGTACCCACATGAAAGCCAAATTCTTCACAACACTAGTCAGGTAAATAGTTGCCTGAAATTTTTGTATCTGTAATGTTACCTTATCAAATCATATTTGAGTAAAGACATTCTGCTAATGATCATTTGGGTTTTTATAGGTTGATGTGGAAGATCCCGACTTGGTCAAGTTTCCCAATTTCACAAAGGCTGCATTTCAGTCCTGCATTCTGATGCCTGGACAGATTCTGTTTATTCCAGTTAAATATTGGCACTATGTGCGATCACTTGAGCTCAGCTTCTCTGTCAGTTTCTGGTGGTCATAGCTCTGAAGCATTGTCTGCAACATTGTAATGGGAATTAGCTCACGAGAGGTTAGAAGTGGAGCAAAACCAAAAACCAACAACCTCTTTCTAAAGCATGGAGAATCGGGAGGGCAACTGGAAAGATGATGCTGCAGCCACTTCATTTTTGTAGATGTTTCTAATTACTCCTTGTGAAGAGCACGTTAGGTCAGTGTCCTGTGTGCATGTGTCCCTCAGAAACAGCCTGTGTCTGGGCACTGCCAGGGCTCTGCCTCTGTCTGCAACACCGGCTCAGTGTTATCTTCTACTTGGATTTAATAGCACTAAAGCCTGGAGTCACCTAGAGAAATGGTGACATTTTATAATGTATTTTCTCTCTGTTGTAAAATAAAGCTAACACAAAGCAAGGTACCAGTCTCCTGAATGGAAGAAGTTACTTGTGTATCCTGGTTCCAGCCAAGGACAGGGTTAATTTTTGCAGTAAGGTGGTAGTGGTTGTGAGCACTTGCCTGTGAAACTTCTCTTTTGTACACTGTGTTATTAGTATTGTAATTATCACTGTTTGTTTTCTTGGATTCCATTGCTGTTCCCAGCTTCTTCTTATATCAACCCATGATCTTCACCTTTTGTGCTCCCAGTTCTCTCCAGCCCACCCCAGGGGAAAGAGCAGCTGGTGGTTTGGAGTGTTACGATGGAAACATTAAATTGGGGAGTACCATTCCTAAACCATGACATCTTGTTAAAGCCCAGGAACATAACTGAAGTTAACCCATAGTTTAATTGCCGTTAAATAAACTGAAGCTTAGTTATACTTTCATTAACTATCAGCTGAACCAGTGCCTTCCTGAAGTGTCGTTACCAAGGACAGGAACGCTGCCATTCCAGTCTGGTGTCTGGCAGTAACGTTCCTTCTTTTTTTTATTTAAGTCACTCTTAAAGGAAGAAACATCCTTACATAAAACTGGAGACAGAAGTATTAGGACTAAAAATCTAAAGAATCTCAATATGGTAATTTTTTCAGCACTTTGTAGACATAAGCTGACATTGCCCCAAGTCCTGTCGTACTCCTTCCCAATTGTTCTGACTGTGGCAATATTCCCTCCCTTACGGAGTAAAACTGCTCGTGACCTGGCCTTATGTCAAGACAAACTCTTCTGCATCTAAAGAAGGGACAAAACTCAAAGCCAAAGTGTCAGCTGGAAGTGTTCCAACTCCAGCCCTAGGTCAGAGACCTTACATGTGCTGCACGGATTTCTCACCTGCTTGAGGTGCTACAGCAGGTGTCAGTTCCATTGTGTAGTTGACAAATAGGGAGCATTTGCTGAGAAAGGCTTCTTTGAAGAGTCCACCTGCATAAATTAGCTTGCAGGACTGACTAAAACATTTGCCTCTCTTATCCCCAAACGTGCACTGAAAGTCCCAACCCAAGAATATGGAGAACTTCAAACACAAAACAGCCTCCAAAAAAGCTGTGTAGGCATTACTGTAAATAAGAACAGGAAAGTCAACGATAATTTTATTAGAAGTACAGAAAATAAGTACACTGACCATTGTTATTAATGAATATAATACAATCTGGCTCTTCTTCCAGAGTGAGTGAAAATAGCTGTCACTGACAGCAAGTCTACTGTCATCATCTACGGCTGAGAATGGAGCTCTATGGTGACTGGGAGTTCATTCGACTCATGCCTGTAAAGACAACGAAGGTTAATGAATGACACACACAAAAAAAGCATAATATTGTATAACCTCCTGATTTTTAAAATGCTTTGTGTATTCCTGTGTTGCTGTTCACAATGTCCAATTCTCCTGGAGAAATAGGGGGGTTCCAAAGAGATTCTTAAAAGCTCAGTATTTCCTGAAGTTTTAGTGCCATGGGTTGTGCGTGTCCCCTATTCCCTGCCACCCCCCCACCTTAAGGTAGTTACGAACAACATGCAGGGTCTGCTGTGCCCCTGTGGCACAGTCTGGGCACTGTGAGGGCTTGTTACCCATGTGTGGTTTAATGTCTCAAACGTACAGCTGAAGTCAGAAAGAACTGATACTCAGTTACAGTTGTAAATAATACAGGTACTGCCATTAAACATCACAGCTCATTTCCTAGTATTACTACACTGTTTTTTTAAAAATAGATTGCTTGGTACCTGGGATGTCACAAGACCAGAATTCATTACACTTCGGACAGCGGGGTTCAGTCTGAGCCTTGAAGTACTTTCTAACACAAGGTAAATGCATTCCAATTCCACAGGATTCACATACTTGGCTCTGAAATCCAGGAGTGATGATTAAAAAATCTTTCTAACCTGTCCTTGCACGCTCACAGAGCAAGAGAATGCAGCAGTTTTGGAACAGAAATCCAGGCTGTAACCACTTATGCAAGACTAAACTGGTAGCATTCCAGTTATCACAACACAGTGTTCTAGCATGCTCTATATAACCACATTATTATATTCATGCTGAGGTCCAGACACAAGTAATTCCTGACCCAAACCCCAGGAACCCTAAGAATGAACGTGTGTCACGTGAAGACTGCTGTTGCTAAGGCCCAAAGAGGAGACTGGTAACACCTCACAGCTAAACCTGTTTCAACATCAGGGGCGCATCTCTAGCCTGCTGGTTTGGAAAGCCAGACAGTACAACCACATTTGTCACTGGGTGAGTGCACTTTCTCCAAGTTTATACTTGGAGACACTGCTCCAAGATAATTTTTTACTAAAGACAGAAGATAAAAGTGCCTACTAAGAAAAATAATGGGTTTTCTTTTAAGCACCACAACGAGATTACAATACTAGGATTTTTTAACGCATGCCTAATACTCAAAGGGAAGTATCACAAACCTCAGCTATGACCATGTGATAAACAGACATTACCTGGACTGCGAGGCTGCGACAGATGTTACATTTCCTTGCCACGTCCTGGTAGTTGCTGAGAATGTACTGTTCCATTTCAATTATGCAACGAGTATGCAGAGTATATTCTCCATTTTTCTAGGGAAACGTCTCAAGATTAGGAATTTAATTTCTTTGACCTTTTTTGACTTTGCTAACCCCCTGCTAGCAAGCATTTGACAGCCACCTTTTTCTGCCATCATGAAACTAACATGCTGGTAGTGGTACAATGCAAAGCCAAAATACCTTTGAAGTAGCAGAACTCATTTGTTTAGTGGAGCAGAATAAAGATCTCACATCTTTAACTAGTCCTTGGAAAGTACAGATGAGCAAGCATGCTCTCCTTAACAGAAGCATGCAGTTTTGGGACCCTCCGTTTGCACGTTAGAGGAAATTTTCCCAGCTTTCAACAAAATCTAGGTGTTTACTGCTTGAGGTATCTCTGGAAATCTCTGCTAAATCACTTTAACATATAAGTGACTGTGTGGCAGCAGGTTGGAGATCTACGATGCAATGACTCCAGCAGAGAAGGACTGAGGTCTGATTTGGCAAGCAATGCAGGGTTCACACGGTGAGCCTATCTCAACTGCTCCTCTCATGGAGATGTGACCATGTGCACAGTGGCCCATGCATTCCTGGTGCAGGAGTTTTCAACATGTTTGGCCTAACCACTTTTCAGGAAATTCCAAATGTAACTAACAGCACTATCACCCTGGAGAGCCTTCCCCAGCTCTCATTCCTGGCTGAAGGATGTCTGCGTGTCACTGGTCAGGGCAGAACACACAAACCCACCTGGCCCAGGTAGAAGAAACTGAAACCATTTGGTCCTGTACAGACCTACCCAAGGACTTTTTCCTTGTAAGTCTATTTCCTTTTCTGCAAAAATCACAGGAGCAGCAATAAGCACGGGCCCCCTAAAACCATTTTTGCCATCATTCATTAAAGAATAGCTCCAGTTTCACCCATCATATCCATAAGAACATGGTAGCTGGACCTACTGAAATACGTTGAATACTTGAAAGCAATTACCTCAGAGAGCCACTTATCCTCCACAAAAACTTTCAGCACTTGTTCTGCTTCCTTTTTCTTCATTTTCTTTGTCTTAAGTTTGTCAGCCAAGTTTAAAATATCTGTAGATGAGGCAAAGCCATTTTCTGATAAAAGGATTAGGTCCATCTACAGAAAGAAACATTACCGAGTATAAAAAACCCCTGCAGACACACCTTACAGTAATGTACTGATGTGCAGGTTTTTCAGCATCCATACATGTGAGAGATACTACAGAATATGGCTTTAACCAGAACTGTAAAACAAAGGCCAAAAGCTGAAACAGTCATTGTCCCCTTGACAGTTTTGATGTTTGCCAAGAAAACATTTCCACCAATAGAAGTGTACGTGCTGCCTAAATGAAGCTGCTTTCAGGGACCCCTCAGCACATTCAACAGTGACAGATCTGTTTTCTTTTTATCTGCTCTTTGTCAACTAAGTTTTCCACTCTTGAGTCGCTAGTACTTCTGAGCCTACCTGGCACCTGAAGGCTGTACAGTATCACCAATCTTCACAGAACCTCACTGGAAACATTTCTGCTGCTCATTAGCACAGAGTCCCTGTCAGCAGTGACATGGGCAACAACAACACACCCTCTGCAGTGCTGACCTGGCTGCGTGGGGGAGGGCAGGGAAACCTCTGGGTCCTATCCATGGAGATTAGACTTCTGCAGCTGTTACACAGAACAGTCAATGCACCTCTCTTTCCAGTTTATACAAAAAATGTAATGAGTGTGCAAAAAAAAGTCTAGTGGCTGGAAAATTAAGTCCTCAGAGTCCAAGACATTATGAGAACAATTCGGTAAAACATCCAAGATACACAGCTATGATCACAACTCACATTAATGGTTGTTGATAAGAAATTAAAAACCAAATGTCCTTGAATCTTGGCCCAATAGTTCTATTTGGAACTTTAAAAAATCTCAAGTGTGTGTTTTCTTGTTTGTAAAGCAGCATTCTGACTAGTTTATTAATACAGAATTGGCTAAGCAGGAACAAGGCAAATGTCTCTATTCAAATCAGAAAAAAAAATGTTATTAACATTAAAATCTACTGCATATTACTAAACTACTGAAGCCAGTGAAAAATTCAGCAACCACAACTGAAAATCCTGAAGAAAGGTGTTTAACTTTAGCACGTGTGTGTTGAGTCCCCAGCCCCAAGGAGCACTTCCCTGGTGCTGGTTTTGCTTTACCCATAACTGACTTCCAGCAGGGAATCATTACTTGCACATACTTCCATCCCTGCCAATCCCATTCAGTCTGGGATAAACTTACGTAAAATGGCAACTAGTTTCTGAACCGCATCTCCGTTCATTTCCATTTCCATTCATTCAAAGGTGATACCTTCCCAAATAATCTGATTTACTAAATGATAACTGACATACTTACTGTTTTTCTAAACAACTCTAATTCAATTTCTGTATAGTCAGATGCCATTTTAGTTACTTCAGTTTCTGCCAAATTCACCTTAAAAAAAAAGAAATAAACTGAATCAAAGTGCCATTGTAGTTTTACACCAGAAACTGTAAAAGGCCCTCTGAGGAAAAGAATATATCAACTTACAATTAACAGAAATGTCAGTTCTTTAAGGGGAATGAAATAGGCTGATCCTTGAAGGGCAGTCAATGGTACTCCAGTCCTTTATTTACAACATTTGATCTTCCAGCCACATGTTCTCCAGAGCTGCCTCTGCCCAGGCCAAGCCCTTCAACAACCCAGATTCCCCAAAGTAACGCAGAGACTGCAGCAGAACTGACATGTCAAACCAGGCACAGTGCTGGACAGCAGCACAAACTATGTTATCAGTCACTTCTTTTTTCACTCTGAAAAACAATTGCTGATGTTTCCTGCTCTTACTGCACGTGCTACTACTATTATTAGCTCAGCTTAATTGGCAAAATGACCCAGAAAGGTTAAAAGCAGCAGTTAGTGTTAAATACCTCCTGTATGGTCTTTTGAAATTGTTATATAAGCTTCCCTCTCTGACATGTGCATTGCAAAGTATCTGGGAAACTTCTTATAGGTCACTCCTCAGCAACCCTTTTGTGCTAGGTTGATTTTTGAGTAGGAGAAAAAGAAAACTAATGTTAGAGGGCTCTGTTTTCTAGTTTAAAGATCTGTCTCAAGAAATAAAGTCTCCAGTGGAAAAGGAATCTCACTTCAGCCCTTAAGCAATGTTTATGTTAAATAACTCCAACACTGCTGTGGTCCTTGCTGCCATGTCCTACTCCCACAGACCACGGCTACAGCAGTTGATCCTTCCCCTGCCCTGTCCTACCAGCAGTTCCTGCAGCTGCTGCTGGCCCCACACAAACACAGCTGTCCCTACACAAACACAGCTGTCCCCACACAAACAAAGCAGATACCTACTACAGCATAATGTGCTCTCCCATCCTCTTCTGACATTCCTTTCCGGATCTGCATAAACAAAGGCTGCAGGTGCCTGTTAATAGTGCTGATGAAATCGTCCAGTTTATCATGTGCGTAGTAAACTGAAAATAAATAAGAAAAAGCACATACAGAGAGAAGTCAAACAATTACACATCAGGCAGATTTTTTTTGTGAAACGTTTTTTCCCAGGTAAAAGCACTAAAACTCCATGAGGCAAATTCAAACAGGGCTTTTCTATTCAGCAGATGTATCGTTTTCTTGCGCTGCTGTCTCCTGTCCTTCAGAGACAGCTCCTTGAAAGTCAGTTGAGAGAGAGTTCAGACATTCTGCCTTGCTGTAGGGAACCCACAGCACTAATCCAGTAATTACAGTGACTTGAACTAAACTGAATCAAAAATAAAACATGACCAGGAAAAATTACTATTCAGAATAGAAAAATACACCGGCTTACTTTCCTTTACACACACGTAATTCCTTGTTTCTGTGTGTTCTGTTTCACAGATTAATGGCATGTAAGTGATCAAGTTACATATCAAAAAAATTCTAGTATTGTAAAAACATGGGTGCTATCTTGTGTCGTGTTCTACTAACAAATTAAATACTAGCAGCAGTTCTATCACAGACATAATTAAGATGGCCTTTGGAGCTATTCTGTGGAAGTGCATGTGATGGCTCTTGCCTGCACAACACCAGCACAACCATCAGGTCCACCCAAAACAAGACTTTTGTCAGTAGCACTCCTGTTGCCTTCATCAGGCTAGGATTTAAAAATCAGGGTTAAGAAACAGCTTGTAACTTTATAAAAATTACTCCTGTCTCAAAAATACAACCACTTGTCACTAACTTAACCGTGTTCTCAGTCACAGGTCCTGCTCCCAAACACAGCACAGTGCCAAATGGCATTCCCAGGATGCTCTTGTCCAGGAGTTCATGATTCTGATATATAAGACTCCTTAAGTAAACAAAACCAAGTAACAGCAAGAACAATTGTAAAGTACAATATCAAATATAATTTTGCCACCTGGCTGGCCCATCAACAGGAAACACTGTACACACCACAATCAGGGAGTGTTAGTAACAGATCTGAAAGTGGGTATAAAATGAAAGATAACAATATCCTTTTGTTCAACAGCTCTAACATTTTAATGTGAGATGAGTGGCTGCTCCAGTACATCTTCTGTGAAAATAAGGGATATAAATTCCTCATAAAAAATAAAGAGGAGTCAGACCACACCAAAAGCTGCACTTCACAATTTTAGCATCTAAGAAGGTGGCCAAGTTACAGTTCCTGGCTCAGGAGGCCCAAAAATAGACTACTTCGTCCTGACCTAACATCTGTGGGTAAGTAGATACAAAACCAGAAGAGTCCCTGCAGAGTGGGTAGCATGGTGACAAGACAGAAGGACACTCCTAAGCCTGGCAGGAGCGCAGCTTCCAGGACTAGGAACGGGCAATACATTGTAGGTGAGATGGGACAAAGTACAGCCATCCACCAGGAAAACCTCATGTCATCCTCACTGAAACGGTTCTGCAACAGTCACTTCTCCCACAACACCAGAGAGAAATAACTGAAGTGGATTTACTTAAAAGCATTCCCTATAGTGAAGTGCTACCAGCATCAAAAATGATTTTTTTAAAATCACTTATATGTATAATCTATAAAAACCAATTCTGATAAAATAAAAAGTGGCATATATTAATCTGACATGATTAGAAGTTAGTTTACTCACTGCTGTGTTACTTTATCTTTCAGGAAAGAGAGAGGACACATATTTACAGTTTTTTAAAATTTTTAGCTGGTGTGTGTCTTTCAGAAATCCAATTTCTCCAAGCTGCACCAGAAAAAAAACACAACTTCTTCCATCTCCAAGACAAACACACCTTTATCAGTTTCACAGCAGTGGTGGTGTAATTTCCTGGCCTCTGATCCTTCTGTTATCCCCTTAGACATCAGAACCTGCAAGAACCGTCGATGAGCATCAGTCATCTGAGCCGCCATCGCAGTGTCCCACCAGGCTTCACGTGCTGCAGGAGGTGTAAGCTGGCATTAATGCACTTGTTCGTACAAAGTAAGAATACACAGTCCAAGCATATGTAAGATTTCAATTAAACTCTCTTACATTGAATGAGAGCAAAAGAGCAGATCCCCGCGTCGTCCTCAGAATGCAGATGGTGACCAGCTCTGAGACTCTGGAAGGGTGCAAAAGGTAAAGTCCAACTACTTTTAGCTACAGAATAGAACAAGGTAGGCATTGTGCTATTGCCTCAAAAAAACAGGAATGAAGCTCCTTAACACCAAGGTAGCACTAAGCATCAGGCGCTGCTTTATTGCAGTGCTGGATGCACAGGGCAGTGACTCTTGCCTGCACGCTGGCTCAAGGTGATACAATATTGAGTCTATGTAGTCTCACAGAGTCTTCTAGCGGGGTCTTTGGGCACCTGGTGGTCGTTGAGCCTCTGAACTTTGATCTAAATATGGTGTTTTCATCGAAGCTGCAGAGTTTGCTACTGAACAAGCTGGATTGGGCCGGTTTGACTTGTTACAAATGTGGTTCCAGAGCTCCCAACGTTCCACTGACCGCTACCTCCTCGTCAGCAACTTATAAAACTCTCATACCCCCAAAGCTGAAAATAAGTGTTGTGTGACAAACTCAACACCGCGCGCGGTTCCGTGTGGGATGTGACCTGCGTGGGATGTGGTTCTGTGTTGGTCGCTCCCGCTCCTCACATAGCCTGGTTAGAGCAAAGTTACAGCAAATCCTCCTCTACACGTCCTGAAGAACTCCAGAACTAACGAAAGGCAGCTAAGAAAATTCCCTGACCACTGCCCCGACCGCCTCTGGCCGAGCTCCGGCCCCGCTGCTTCGCTGCCCGCTCGGCCTCGGGCCCCGGGTCCGCCGCGGCCACAGCCCACGGGGCAACGGCCCGAAAGACCACTCGGTCGCAGAGACCGCCCGCTGCCCCCCGCCCTCGGCCCCGCCGGGACCCGCCGAGGAACCACCTCCACCTGCCGCCTCCCCGCACCCACCTCCGCTCGACAGCTCAGCGATCTCTGCGTGCGCCTGCCATCGATAGCTCCGCCCCCGGCCCCGCCCCCGCCCGGGCCCCACCCCCTCCCCTTGCCAGCTCCACCCCGCTCAGCCCCCGCCCCCTCCCTGCGGGCCCCGCCCCCGATCATGCCCGTGGCCGGTCGGGCCCGCCCCGGGCCGCTCTTGTCCCGGTTTGGGCCGTGCTGGGGCAGCGCCGTGTGCGGGGCCAGAATCGCCCCAGGCTGGAGCGGGGCCTGGCGCGGGGGCCAGACAGGGCAAGGTATGTCCGGGGGTCGGACCGGCTCCCTCTCGTTATCCGCGTCTGGCGCGCCCTTTGTACGGTCTGTGTTTTCCTCTGCGCCGGGGTTGGGAAGGAAAGACGGGCTCTCCGTGCTCCCCCTGGAACTCCCCAGGGTCCCTCTCGGGCAGGCGGCCCCGGCCGAAGCCCACGGGCAGATGCGCTTCTCCTTCCTCGATGTTGTTTAACTCGAGTGTTCATTTTGCAATACTCTGGCCAGGACTGGTTGTAACTCCCCGAAATGCCCTTCCCGCCGGACGTGCTGCGGGACGGCCCCACCCGCCCCGGGCCGCGCTCCCGGCCGTGCCCAGGCCCGCAGAGCTCCGGGCCGGGGCTCGGCGCGGCGTCAGAGCGACCGGCGCTGGGCATTACGGGCCGGACGGGGTTTCTTTTCAAGTATTGATACAGAGTCTATTTGGTGATCCTTTTGCTTTGCAATATATCTCTTGTCTCGCTTTAATCTGCGGTTATAACCAGCGCTTTAAACTAAAAGAGTAAGATTAGATGTACTTCAGTTTTTAAAGGAGCCAGTTTTAAAAAGCTATACAATTGCAGCACAGCAATTGTGCATTGAGCAGTTTTGCATATAATATCTGACCTCTGTGGTATGAGCAGGAGTTACTCATTGAGCATAACAGTTTTGCAGATTGTGCCTGTTAATGAAATGTGACCCTAATTTCCTTAGAAGACCAGAAGTTAGTACTGTTTTTCTTGAGAGTAAATCAGATTGTATTGTTTTGAAGAAACAGAAATGGTAAAGTGATTAAAGCGTGTAACTTGTGCCAGTAATCATGCAGACCTGCTTCTAGCCCCGACAGAGATTTCTTTCCTAGCTTTGGGGAAGTCACCTATGTCTTTACAACTTACTTTCGTTACATACATTGGATTTATTAGGTTTACTGCAATTTTAGTATGCTCTGTATGTGTTACATACTTTCTTAAGATTGATATTTCATTATCTGATATAATGAAAAACCTAAAATGCAACAGGCAGAAAAGCTATAGACAGTTTAAAATTTTCTCCCTTTGCAGTTTCATTAGAGCTGTTATTTTCATCCCCGTGCGTGGATCTATTTGCCCATGGGGAGGTGGTTTTGCTCTGCCCTCTATTCATTCGGACGTGCTTACGTGGTCCAGGATTCTCTGCCAAAGTTCTGTGAGTTCCTTGGAACTCCGTCATGCAACTGTATTGCTTAATAGTGAAAAGCAAATGCTTCCTCTTTTGAGAACTCCAGGAAAAAGGAGGATTTGTTTATGCTGGAGAAGTTTGCTTTTTTTTTCCCTGAGCAGCAGCAAAGGTGCTTGAGTTCATTTCAAGAAATTTATTACTATGCTCAGTCACATTTTGTCTATTCCCAGAATGTGAAAAACTCAGCTCTTGAGTAATGGTTTTCTCGAGCATTTATAAGAAATTTATCTTTCTGGTATGTCTCTTATTGCTAGATGACTAGTAACTGCCCAAGAGAATGTCACGGAAGAGTTTCCATTCTGATCTTCTATTTTCACTAACAATGTCCTTATTCCTTAACCTCTAAGATGGAAATTTTACATGTTTAACTCTTAGAAGCTAGTTTTAAAGAGTGGTCAATCATGCATGTGGGAATGGGAGAAATACAGAAATGTGATTTTCTGACAAACTTGGATTGTGATAATTTGCCTTGGAACTGAATCTGACATGCTGAAGTAAAGATTGATCATAAGTGAAGAGCTAGTGCTTCTGAATAATCTGGAAAAATATTCAATTGCTGTATTTTGCAGTAGTTTGATTTATGTTGATTATTTATCAATAAAAGGTATGGTCTTCTTTGCAAAAAAAGTGAGATTTCTGTCACTAATTCAACTGAGGAAGAGTCTGGCTGTTGCCTACCTTGTGTTTAATGTATTTGAATACTTGACAACAAATCTTGAACAGCTGTCTTAGAGAATGTTACCAGTTTCAGGAGAAGTTCCCTGGGGTATATGGTGTTGGTGCTCTGCACATCCTCTCCTGGGTGCAGTGCCCACATGCATCCTGCCAGACGGTTGCTATGTTCTCCCTATGCTAATAACTAAAGAGTTTATATGGCAGCAGAGTTTCTGATCCCTCACCAGTTTCTCTCCTCTTATGTGCCGGTGGGATTTGCCTTTTCAGACGTGAAGGGTGCTCTGTGGTTGGGGCGGAGGATATCCATCTGCCATCCACAAATACCTTCCAATGATCTCTGCTACTTCAGAATCTGACAAAGCTTCTGCAGAACGTCCAACACCTCTCTCCTGCTGATGGAGATCTTCTGAGGAATTCTCTCCTCTTTACTCTCTCACACTGAGAAAATCATGAGGCTTTGAAATAAAAACTAATGTGCCACCTGGGAACTTTACAGAACTTAGCTCACTGACAGCAAGAACACTGTCTGGACATGGAGGTTAGAAAATTCTAAGAGCATGAGAGGAAGGGACCGGAAAGTTGTATGATAACAATGTGCTGCTGAACAAATTTTATCCCTCTTTATACTGAATGCAAAGCCAAAAGCATATGAGTTAGCATAACTTCACCTGCAAATACACCAAAATTTTAAATGCCTCACATCTATTTGTAGTGACTTGAAAGCTGGTAGCCATATTTTATGCAGAATATGGACTTCCACTAAGTGGCTGCATTGCGTCAGCAAAAAAAGTCTTGGGGAAACATGCTGCTTGGTTTTTTGGTTTTGGTTTGTTTTTTGGTTTTTTTTTAAAGTCCAAAGTTAATTATTTCACCTGTTTTCACTTTATCTAAATAAATGGCTTTACTATGCTTAAGGAATTCTAATAAGTAAAAGCTGCATAATTTTCCTTCTCCCAAGTTTAGCTGGTTATACCATGATTAGGTATGTGCTTTACAACCTCTAATTATTTGCTGTTTTAATGAGTCTGCATTCTGTTGGAGCAATGCTCAGAGTTCTTTGCTAACATTTTTTTCAAGAGGGTGATATCCATATTATCAACCTACAGGTGATAGGACTTGAGGAAAGCATTTTAGTCAATAGACCAGACACTTTATTCTTAAATTCTTTCACTTATCTGAGTAAAATCATAGGGCTTTGGTGACAATGTCACTGATTTTGGTCAAGTGCTTATGCTTTTAGTAGCTCGCATGCTAGCAGCTTGCCTTTTCTAGTAGGTGAAGAGAGTAGGTCCACTGCCAATGTCAGTCTTGTATCCTCTGTCATTAAAACTTCACAGAAAAGTCTTCTAGCTGATTTGTATTCTCCTTATTCTTCTACATGTCTCGTTCATTTTAGGGGCAGGGTGTGGGAAGCAGGCACAGCAGAGAATCTGAATCCCCACATCTAGCAGAGTGATAGGAAATACCACAATACATCCTTACCTTAACTAGCACAGGGATGTAAGCTCATAATAATGTTTGCTGTTGGCAGAACTGCATCACAGCTTTTCCTGCTGAACCAGACCAGTGTCAATGATGGCAAGACTCCCAAGTGCTGCGCCATATACCCTTTGGATCCTTTTCTTTTCATATACAACAAATGAAGGTAGGTTTGTCAGTATTTTAGATTATTATACTGAAGTTTTGATTGACAGCATTTTTCCATGACCAGTAGGCAATGCTATTACCACTAATTAACTACTATAAAATTTGTAACTTCAAATGTCAGAAATAACCTTATATTAGAATAAATTCTTAGATTTTTTTTCTTTACATTGAACTTCTCCATAGGGTCTAGAAAAATTAGAAATTTGTGGAAAGGAGAAACAGGTTTAGAAAGTCATCTCCTTCCGCATTATCTGATCTGCACTGGCCACCTCTGAGATGGGCTCAGTCGGTTAGAGCATGGTGCTCATAATAACAAGGTTGTGGGTTCCATCCCCTTACGGGCCGTTCACTTAAGAGTTGGACTCAATGATCCTTGTGGGTCTCTTCCAACTGGGAATATTCTGTGAAATCTGTAATGCCTTTGGGAGGCTTTCACTGCCTGGCCTCCTTCCCCAGGCACAGGAGGCCTGAGCTTCTCCTCTCTGGTATGAAGCACAGGCAGGAAAAACCGCTGAAGGAATACTGAAGTAATTCCTAATGAAATTCCTGAATTCTCTATGCCACCATGTAGTTGCCTGGATTTGAACAGATTTGGCAGGCCCTGGCTGTGACTTGTACCTGCGCAGGGGTGGAGGAAGAATGGGATCCAGAATGTCCCAGCTGTGCTGTCGGCCTGGCAGGAGATGTTGAGTCCGAGTACTGCTGGTTCCTTAAGGGTTATTTTGTCAAGTTCAACTAGCAGAGGCTGAATATAACCATGTTTTTTCCTTGCATCTTTTATGGTGTTTGATTACAATTTAGATATATCAAGTCATGGTTTTCAGTAATGCCTTTTTATTCTCTGGGAAATGAATGGTACATTTTGCTTGCTGTAATTTGTTTTACTAGTTTTGCAGTGTCTACAGTTTCTTAGGTCTCGTTTTGTTTTATGAAGCAAATCAAAATAGTTAAAAGACAATTTAAAATAACCTGTCTCTAAAAAAATGAAGATTTATTAGCTACTGTCTTATGTACTATGAAATAGTGCAGTTGAATTAAGGAGAAGCATCAAGGTTTGCAAGAGTGCATTGGTTTGGTTGTCTGATCTGGGTAATTCCACATTTTCTATAAATGATCTATATCAAAGTTTAATTTTACAGTGTTTTGTTTGGATTTGTTTGCCTAGTTAACTACATATTTTAAAGTTTCTTCAACATGCTGTACTATTTGAGGATTAAACAAGAAATTCAATATTTCAGTTCCCTTTTTTAATAACGCTAACTCAAAGTAAGTTCTGTACTGTATCTAATTTCAAAAGGAAAGTCTCAAATATCTGAGGTTTAAAAAAAAATATGGTGTACCAGAGATGGAAAAGCGAGAAGGTCACAGCAAAAGAGTAGAGAATATAATTTGGAGTTCTGGAAAGACATGAGGACACTGAAAAGCAAGATAAAGTAAAGCTGTTAATCATCATAGCTTAACACAGCATGAAAAACTTCATTTAATTGAAGTATTCTTGAAAGCATAAGATCATTAACGCATTGAAAAATAATGTTCATCTTTAAAGGACTTAAAATGTTAGTACTTATGGCAAAAGTACATTTTAAAGTGGGGAAAAAAACCTACCAATAAAATCACAAATGGCAACCAAATATAAACAATACCAACAGGATAATGATTCTTTTAAAATAAAAAAGCATTGTGACTGCTAAACTGTTGCAGAAGTTTAACTTGCTGAGATGTAATGTAGGAAAGAAGGATTTATATTTGCACAACTTGTGCAAAAAAAGAAAGGTATTATTATTTCCAATAAAAGAGAAGTCAAACATCAGAAAAGGCAAGTAATTGTCTGGGATAATAAAAGTGTTAGCTATTTCTGACTGCTTCAGTGAGAAATGATTACACTCCAGTACCAGGGTTGGCTTACTGTTAGTCCCAAAACAACATGACCTTACTGTCACATAGCTCTTCCTCTTCCATTCCATGTCTCACTTATGTGGAGTGCATTGAAATAATAGAAAGTGAGGCTGGAAGGGATACCGAGGATTGTGTATTTTTTACTTAAATACTGACAGTGAAAGAGGTTATAAATTTGATCATGGGGAGTGCAGAGACTTTTGGCTTTCCTGTACCACCCCACCCCCCCCTCCCCCGTGCCTGGCACATTGTGACTCAGTCTCTCCTGGGCTCTGAATGCTCATAACAGTTGCAAGTAGAAGACAGAACAGGAAATACTGTGTGAAATGAAGAAAAGTGTATACTAGAAGAAAGTCTGTGGCGGGAAAATCATCTAGGCACTGGGGAGCTGCTCTGGGGAAGCAGAAGACATGCATTTGGGAAGCTTAGAGCCATTATAGGTAAAGCATGAGTCATGCCTGTAGACAGTGATCCTGGTCTTGACTGTTAATTATCTGCATTTTGGGTTTTGAGCCTTTTTTATTTAATAGATGGGATTATGTGGTTTTGTAATTAAATGCTGACATGTTTTACATAAAGCTATTGGAATTGGATCTTCTGTGCTTATAAGTCTGTGTTGGATGACTTGTGCCTTTTTATTTCAAAATTACTATTGCAGACTCTTTCTCTCCAAGATCATAGACGTTGTCTCCAGAAAGGTAGAGACAGTTGGTGACATGCCCCTCTTGCCATTTACTGAGACTCAAGAGATAGTAATGCTTTCAATTAATTTACAGGGGTTTGGTAGCTCTATTTAAATGTAAAAGCTAATGTTTCTACTTAGTTCAATTCATTCTTCTGATTCTCTTCCTTCTCACTGTATGCTTCTTCTCCCTAGTTATGACTGCAGGACACATACAAGAATTTGCATGCTTCACTGACTTTGACAAAGAGCTGGTTTGTCACTGGAAGGTGCCTGCACAAACTAACTGCTCCAAAGAATTCCTGCTCAGCTACAGCAAGGAGATTTCTGTGTCGTAAGTGCTTAATAAGATGTTACACTGCCATTGTTGGAGCTTCATATATCCTGTAGTCATTATTGGCTTTAAATCCCTCCCTCTACCGTCGGTGTCTGGGACAAAATGTAATTCAGATTATTCTTCTTGCCAGAAGTAAAATGGATTGCTTCAATTACCAGCACACTGTTCAGTGGCCTAATCTTCCACAGAACTCTCTGTTCTCTTAGTACAGAGGAGGGATCCTACTGGTAGGAGTGTTAGGGCTCTTACAACTTAACAAAACCCTCATTTCACGCAAAATTTTACCTTCTTCGTGAGAAATCGTAACTGATTTACCAGTCTGAAGCCTGTGTGAAAGGTACTCTCCCTTGGAGCCCAGGTGATTTTGTCTACGTGCAGTCTAACTCCATGTTCAGGCATAGACTGTGTGCCTATTCTGCAGCAGGACCAGTCACCATCTGCAAAAGAAGATCTGGGTTCTCCTGTCCCTCTCTGTATCATTTCAGCAAACCCACATCCAAATAACCTCACTCATACAATGCAGTAAGCCTATTCCTATACTGACAAGCTGTTAGTCTGCTTTTTCAGAGACTGAAGTGTGACAAAGAGTGGTAATTTTTCCTCTTGGGGTCAATCCTTAGCCTTTCTGTCAAGTTTTTTGTTTGTGCAATTCAGATATCCAAGGGGCGTCTGCAGAGGGTGGGTTGTTTGGGAATCTCAGTTTTGATTTGGAAACATTTCCTGGAACTGAGTGTGTTTGTCTCAGATTTGATTAGCTCTACACATTGGGAACCTTGATTTCACCTTTTCAAGGACTAGTGTGTCACACTCTCTAAACATCCCATAATTTTGTGCCTGTTTTTCAGAAACGTGTGTGTTCCTGAGAATGGAAAAGACAGTTTAAGGTGCACTTGCACGATACATTCAGATTATTTTGTGTCAGGCCTCACGTATGTTATAACCCTACAGTTTAATGGGACTGATATATGGAACTACAATGTTACACCAGCCCTTGTTGGTAAGAAATTGTTTAGATGTCTGGTTCCAGGCTTTGCAATCCTAGCTAACTCCTCAATGATGTTACCAGAGAAGTTTTTCCTTATCAGAGGTGGAAGGTGCCATGCTGGCTTAAATGCAAGATCTGTTTGTTTTAGGAATCTAATCCAGAATCAGGTTTCTAAGGAATGAGTATAAGTAATGGGGAAAGCAGGGAGTGATTCTCTCTCTAGCTGTACCTTCTCAGCTGTGAGGCAGCAGCAGTTTGGGGTCTTAGATTTTAATGTTTTTTACGTGTGACTGTAGAATTACAGGGTGAAGAGGAATGTGTTACTTTCAGTTTCTAGAAAGACACTAGGCTGTCCCTACTGAAACTCCTTCCGTTTCTGTCTCTGTCATACTCTGATATTTCATGCAAGTTAAATCATGCCACATGAACATAAGATTTTTTTACAGTAATTGCTGATAGATTATAAGTCAGTGATTAAAAGTGCATAAATCTGTTTTCTTACAGGACAGGTTGTAGATACAGTTCATGTCTCTCCCTAGGCTCCCAGTTTGGTCAGAACAGTGTGCGCATTGGTAACGCTTGTCACCTCAAACACTTGGAGAAATCACTCCCATACCTTAAGGCAGACCAAGGAGTTGGTTCACTTCAGAATACTAGGTTGTTGCTGCTGCTTATCAGCCAGAGAAGCAGGAACCTGCCTCGGTTTCCAGGAGACAGGGAGCCAGGACAGCTTGGCTGTTCCACAGCTGCTCCTGTCAGAGCGCAGGCTGTTCTCGTTTCTCCAGGCTGAAAGCTGCATCCAGTGCACCAAAAGGGTATACTTGCAGCTTGTTTAGCCAGCTTGAAGAATCAGTGCTTGTTAATAAATTCCTTAAAGCTGCTCTGGTTTGGCCTCTTTATCCTTGTGCTACAGCAGAATGAAAAGGGCTAAGTGCACTAACTGCGATGATATTCTGGTCTCTGGTGAATGCTTGTCACTCTGATCTCTCCGTGTTCTCCTTAATTGTATTTTAACATATAGTTAAGCCAAGGGCCCCCAAAAATCTTGCCATTGAGAAAGCTGAAAATGGTAATTTCAATCTGAGCTGGGAGGAGAGCTACTCTTCTCAATCCACGCTCTTTGGACAGCCGGTCATCTATGAACTGAAATACTGGAGGAAGCAGCACCCAATGGAGGTAAGATACAGCCAGTAGACGCTTCATTTTCAGTCTCTCTGGAGCTTTCAAGTTTAACAAGTACTCGGAAAAGCCTTGAAACCACTTCATGAATAATGGTGTAAGGGCCAGCAAGGGCAAGTCCCACAGTGTTCCTGATCATACAGAATCACGGACCATCCTGAGTTCCACAAGGATCAGCGAGTCCAGCTCCGAAGTGAATGGCCCATACAGGGGATTGAACCCATGACTTTGGCATTATTAGCACCAAGTTTTAACCAACGGATCTAATCTCAAGGTCACTTGCCCCAAGGTGATTCAGATGGGTGTTAAAGGGCTGAAACTGTTCAGACTGGCACCCCATAATGGTCTGCTGCTTGCAATAGTCAGAGATTGAAAATACAGTGCTTCTGATCCCTGAACTTCATTAGCTCCGTAGACATCAGGAAGCTGGAGGCTATTGGTGCCTCCAAGGAGCACTTGAGGCACCTAAGACCCCCTCCTGAACAATCCAGTGCTTTAGGGCTGGGCTGCTTCTGCTAGAAGAAGAACATGTGTGGTGGTATGTCACAGATACCTGCTGATGACAGCAAACTGTAGTATTACACACAGTTATTCAATTGCTCATTTGTGAAAGATCACTGAAACACATAACACTATTGGTATTTAGTTGCCATCACTAACCCTTCACCTTATAAAGAAATCAAAGTGAATTTTCTCACTTTCTTTTCAGGTTTCTGTAAAAGCAATTAACTACCAGGCAAAAAGCTTTGAGATTACTGCAAGCTCCTTGAGGAGGGGGTATGATTACGTTGCAAGTCTCAGGTGTAACTACACAGACTACCCGGCCTACTGGAGTGAATGGAGTGAAGAAGTTGAATTTCACTATGGTAATGCTGTCAGAAATAGCAGCTTGGGAAAAGGATGGTATAGTCTTCATATCCTGCTGCTCTCCTCTTGGAGTAAAGTTACAGAATCATCATGTTCGTCATTTTGTATGTAACATGAATACATCTGTAAAGGCTTCCAAAGACACTAAACCATAAAAAGGCAACTCCTGGGCCTCACAGTGCACATCTGATCTCCCAGCTCCTGCCACTCCCAAGTAACTAGTCACAGTACATTTGCTGGTCTCTGACACAACACACACCATCAGTGTTGCAGACCTATGGGGGTCTGTTGTTTATCTGCTGGAGGCTCAAAAGGAGCATTTTTTTAAGGTGCAGAAGAGCAGCAATGAATTTGGTATTGCCAGTGCTTTTATTCAGATGCACACTCACATGTAAATGTCTGGGTTTTTTTTTTCACAGATTATGAAGTGACAGCTGAAGACATTCTGCAGATGGCTGTGCCCATATCCTGCATACTGATCATGGCAGGATCTGTCATTTGCTACTTCTGTTTTACAAAGTACGTTTCATACTGGCTCAGGGTTTATAGAGTAACAGCTTACGCAGCTATCAGTATTGCTATTGATAAGCCAAATGTCTGCTAATACAGGAGCAGAGGTTTTATAAAAACTATTCACTTGCGCTCTGTCATTTTCTGAATAGTCTCTTAATCTTACTAGAATGGTCTTGTTATAGTATGGGTTTGTCAGTTTTGCTGGAGTTCCAGTAATGATGGTTAAATGTCTTTATTTCTTTTAAATTTTTTTTAGTGGTAGGTAGATCCTACCTGTTTTCACAGATAATTTCAAACATTAGAAGAAGATTAGGAGAACACGTGACTTGCGTAGTGCAGAGCAGTCACATACCAAACATACAAACATCTTTGCACTGGTTTAATGAAAAGCAGCACTTGGAGATGTACAGAACAAGCACTTCCTGTTGCTGCAATGCAGATGTGTAAGAGGGAGAGGAGAACAGAAGAGAGAAGTATACACTGATGAAACCCAAGTGGTCAAAGCAAACAATTTTCATTCTTCCCTTGCAGAGTGAAGAAAGAATGGTGGGATGAAATCCCAAATCCAGCCAAGAGCCATTTGGTTGTAAAAAATGTCAAGGTAATTTAAAAGCTTTGCAAAAAATACCTTTTCCTGATCACCAAAAGTAGAATGTGTAATAAGTGCTATTGTCTGTCTAGTGCAGGGGATACTAGATACAATTCATATGTGTCCTAAATCTCATTTGTGTCCTTATTAGTTTTCAGTTTTCTGCTACTTTGATGAAATTAAGTTCCCTTTCCATGACTTAAAGCAGACTCATATGGAAAAGCAAATGTAAGTAAGATATTAAAAAATACACATCTGCTTTACTGCATAAAGTAGTTTCCTGTTACATAAACATTAACTGTCCTTTCCTTTTGACTTCCAAAAACAGAAGTTGCAAGAACTGTCTGGCTCAAAGTTTGTCAAGCCAAAACTTCAAGGGAAAAGATAACATCAGAAATGTTGAGAAATCTTGCAGCTGCCACAGCAAGTGTGGAGAGTCATTGCCAAAAGGCAGCAATGCAGTTTTAACCCCTGATACAGCTCCCTTTGAAGACATTATTGAAATCTGTGAATGTTTAACAGACAGCGAGACTGGGAGCCAGGAAGAGACTGGCGATCAGATCACCACATTTGAGCCTTGTGAGAGCAGCATCGGTGCTTTCAGAGAGCACAATGAAGCACTAGCTAACATGTTTGATGCGCTCCTGGCAGATGAAAATAACATGCAAGATAATAAAGACCTAGACATCCTCACAGGTGAGAGGAAGACCTTCAAAAAACTTGAGTTGGAAAATCCATCACAGCGAAATCCAAAAGAAAGCGCAGCCCAGAATCAGCGGCCATGTGGTATTTCTCATACAACCTCTCTTTTCACCAAAGCCTCTCAAGATGACTACAATTGTAGTACATCCAGCAAGGAGTCAGAACTGTCGGAAGAATCCTTTGAATCTGGTTATCAGAGCTCCAGCATAAATTCTGCTTCCCTGGATGCAAGAGATCTTCAACAAATGGTTCATCAAAGCCTTTTTCTATGCAGTTCAGAAAGTGAGCAGGACTCTTGTGTCCTGATCCAGGAATCTACAAATAAACCGTTCTTTGGGACCAAAACAGACAGAATAAACAACGCTACAAACAAGAGTTTTGATACCCTTGTGTCTGCACCCATGAGGTTCTGTGGTTCTGCATATAAGAGCTTTGACTCCCTTTTGTCGCCATCTGTGGAGCCCGAGAGTTCTGCCTACAAGAGCTGTGACATCCTTTTGTCACCATCCCTGGAGCCCGAGAGTTCTGCCTACAAGAGCTGTGACATCCTTTTGTCGCCATCCCTGGAGCCCGAGAGTTCTGCCTACAAGAGCTGTGACATCCTTTTGTCACCATCCCTGGAGCCCTGTGGCTCTGCCTACAGGAGCTTCAATGCCCTCATGTCACACTCCATGGCCAGCAGTAGCCTGACTCTGTGCTTTGAAAGTGCGTGTTCCTCACAGCCTCCAAGACAATTGTCAGAGATACCAGAACACAGCTGTAGAGGTCAACCTGCTGGCAATGGGACATGTTACACCAACTACAGATCTCCCTACACTGAGCTTGACTTTCCAAACACCTGTTCAGAGCATACTGATTTTCCATCTTTCTCCACACGTGCAAATGAAGGTGCTTCAGCTTTCCTATCAGAGGAAGAAATACATAAGCAAGTAATATATCAAAATTTTCCAAAGAAAACCAATATAATTTCATGCCCTATTGCACCTCAGCGATCAAGTTATCAGCCTTTTGATAGTGCAGGTAAATGTAATGGTCCATACTGTGACAATGAGGTTATCTCATTACATGAACCCTTCATTGGTCTGTGCAACAATCTCAAAGAAGCACCTCCAGATACTGCAGTCTGTGAGCTTGACCTGAGAACAAAGGACTGTGTGTGTTTGACTGTTCAGAGTCCTGATTGCAGCATTGTCCCAGGTTTAGCCTCTAGTGAGAATGACACGCAGACCGTTAATGGCAGCCCTTGGATCGATAGCTGTAATGAGCTATCTAGTGATAGCAATGATGAAAATAGCAGCAGAGAGGAACACTGGTTGCATTTGTTAGAGCTGAACTGTCAAGATTTAAACAGCAGAGAAAGAACTACCCAGGGGACAAAACAGAACAGCTTTAACCCTACTGGCAAAGTAATGCAAGAGAGCAACAATAACAAACTGAATACTGACTGCCACTGCCACCCACACAACCACTTGAGGGAACTTGGAGATGCAGAGGGAAGTGAAGAGATGCTGAAGCATGTAGAAGGGAAGGGGAGTGGCTCAGCAGCCAGCTTACCAGCGTTGTTGGACAGCACTGAGCTAAACTTAGGCAGAAAAACTGCACAGCCCCTGGAGCTCCACATCTCAGACAAGCTGTCGCCTTGTTGTCTTGTGAATAACTCCAGTCGTTCTGATTCTCACACCATTCACAGTGAGGACTCCAGACTGGCACTTGCCATTAAAAAGAGACCAATAGAACTGTTAAGGGAAAACAAGAGGAAAAATGAGAAAAAAATTGAACTTGTGCAAGCCCTTGCCCAAGAGGACAACTGCTATATGGAAGTAGCTTAGCCACATTTGCTGAGAGCCGAGACTGAGTGAACCTTTGAAATAAACTGTATGGCAAATTGAAATGTTGCTTGTTATTTCAATCTTGACTGAAATGACGGCTGCCGTAGGTCACACATGATTCAGTGGGTTGTAGCACTAGTGCTTGCCTGGGACTGGCAGCCAGGATGTGGTGCAGGCCTCTGGGGACAGTTGGGAGTGGCACTCAGCAGCTCTACTATGTGAAGCCAGAGCTGAAGTGTGAAGCTGTGAGTGATCTCTAAAAGGGAGCAACAGCTACAGGAAGCAGGAGTTCTTAGTACAGTTCCTGTGGTTATTGCCTTGGCTATTTGTTGCTTGGGAAGCACACAACAGTGATGTGGAAGGTGCTGACACATGTGGAATTGGGACATAGGTGCAGGTCAAAGGGGATGTGACTGACTTAGTACACATCTTCCATAACTTACTTCTTTTGGGGGAGAGGCTGTTGTCCTGTGTGCCTCACCCTAGCATGGGGTGTATGTTTCCATACCTGCTCAATCAAGACATGGAATACAGAGTACTGTCGTTTGGGCTTAAGCAGTACTATTATTGGTCATTAGTTTCTTATTCTGTAAAAGCAAGCAGAATTACTTCATACTTCTGCAGCTGTAAATGGCATCAGACATTCCTAAGCAATGTTTTCCCAGAAAGCTTATCTAATGTGTGGTCCAACACCATACTTTCACGAAACATTTTTTTAGCTTGTTTTTGTCCAGTTGGAATGGGGATTATGCACGCAACTTAAAGGCTGTATATACTTCTTGTTAGATAATTATTCAAGAAATTTTACTGACAACTCTGAACTTCTCTACAGTGTTATCATATATTTTGGTATGGTAAATTCCACCCTAGTATGCTGGCAGTGGCACAAAACAGTTAAGAACCATTAAGTAATGTTTTGTGCATTAGAATGTATTCCCATTTGTAAGGAAGGAAACCATAATGCTAAACACAGCAACTGGTTTTAACATATTTTGTAAGTAAAATTTTTGTACTGCAAATCTCTCTTCCAAGTTGGCCAAAAGTTGGCCATCGATTTTACAACACTGAAAAAATGGTATGTAAGCCCAGGAAGGAGACCTGCAGTGTATCTGTATTTAGATGGGATAGTTAATATTTGTATAGGCACTGGGTTGTAGCTCACTTTCACTATGGTAGTGGTTAGTGGAAGATCTTCCTGCTCATAGCTAAGGTGCTGATGAACATGTAATTTATTTGTTTTAACCAAAAATGTCAGATTAAATTTTATTTTCACTTAGGAGAGGTTTCATTCTGTCAGAAATACTCTTTTCTTTACGTGAGGGTGATCACTGCTGTAGTTAACATCAGCACGAGTTCTGTGAGGTGGGAGGCTGTGAGACACACAGAGGAAGATGCTTTTTAGGACCTATCAGCCACAGCTGCACTGAAACAGTAAAACAACGGGATGCAGAGAGGCCATGGTCTGCCTCATAAGTAAGCTGACTCCACAAAGTCAAGTTTAAGCAAAATCCAAGAGTTAATACTGCTGCCTGGAATGGGTCACTCACTCTTTAGTAGCACAGGGATGTTCTGGGAGGTGCAGGGACATCAGTGGTGCTTTCTTCCCCTTCTATTCTTGTGCTCTTCCTTGTATTCTTTGTGAAATCCTGCAGAAAGGCTTGTGCTTGGCTGGAGAGGTCTGCTCAGGCCGGGATTGAAAAGCTGTTTGCTGTAGCACTTGATTCTCTGCTAAGCCCCAGCTCTATTCTTCCTTTCCCTGGCTTTTTTTCTTCTGCATAGCTATGCCCTCTGGTCTGCACATTTCCATCAGATGGCTTTGTGTGTGGAGGTATTCTTCCCTTTCTCTCCCTGCAGTATTCCTCTGGCGAAATTGAACTCTAACTCTTGGAGATGGGGGATCCCTGTTCCTATGCCTTCTTATAAACCAGAACTGGAGATGGGCAGCGGGGCTGGGGGACAGCTGTCTGGCTTCCCCTCGTCCTGCAACGGACACGAGGCCTGGCTACCGTGGGAGGTGAGTTCACGTTCCATGCTTCATCCCTGCCCTTTGCCATCCAGAGCAATTGCCAGGCTATGAAACCCAGGTAGGTTTCAAATGACAGGTTTCCATCCCAGACTAGTGATCTGCCTCCGGGGCAGTGTATGGGAGTTGTGGTTTTGGGCCAGCACTGAAGGATCTGAACTGAGCTCACCTCCTAGGGACCAGCCAGAGCCTGCAGAGGCAGCTCACCGTCCTGAGAGAGGAACTTCCTTCCCGGAGGCTGGAACCCTCCAGGCATGTCTTTTTCGCTAGTGGAGGGCTCCTGCCAGGACAGAGAATTACTGATCATAGTAAGTGCATTTTCAGTGGTTTTCAGTTTGTTTTGAAAGGCTGCAGTGCAAGTGGAGGCTTGTGCCAAGTTTTAGCCTAGTTGTAATGCCATTTGTTACTCTTGCACAATCACTCCACCTCCACATCCTTCTCACCTGGCTGCCTACCAAATATTAGCAACCTGACTCACCGTGAGTGAAATATGTTCCCAAGAAAAAAAGCTGGTGCATTCCCAGTTCAGGAGTAGCTAGTTCTGATGCACTTTTTCCATTGCAGAAATGCCCCAGGCTTAGCTTTTTTTTTTTCTCTTTTGAGCAGTGTTGGCTCCTTGGAAATATGCAGCTGTACAGATCAGCTCTTGGCAAATTCCCATCGATCACAAGGTTTTTTTCTTGCCTGTGGAAAACTAACAATAAACACAAGACTAATATGGAGCAGGAGCTTGAGGATGTGGAGTCAAGGTCTTGGGGGTAGGGACAAGTTAATTTAGGGCAGGGTCAGCTTTTTAAATAACATGCCTCTATATCTTGCTTTGTGACCCTGCATCATTGAGGCAGGATGCAAGGATGCCCAGGTGTTCATCCACCATGTGCTTTATCTAAGAAACCCAGTTCTTTTTAAGTGTTGCAGTGATAGGGCCAAAGGAACAAAGTGTTAAAGAGAATCAAATGAGAGGGTTGTGACATCCAAAATGCTGTTCTCTAAGGTTTATCTCTGACTGTGGAATCATGTGTCAAAACTCCTTAGTGAATAGAGGCTGAGAGGACAGTTCTCATTCTCCTAGCCATGTCTTTTCTGTAGAAAACCCCTTAGGGAACATGGCAAAACCACGACACTTGTGCAGTTTGTGTTCTAGCCCTGACAGAGGTGCTTCTAAAGTGTGTTATTTTGCACGCAGTTGCTTTCACAAGACATACATGTTTTTTACTAATATTGGGGGAACTGTGCGTGTGCAATGCCCAGGCACGTGTGGACATGCACAAACACACACATGGATCATTTCCCACCTCTGCAGATTGCTGAGTACAAGGTCTGCCCCAGGCTCCCACGTGATGATGTATCATGATCTCGCATTACTCGGAATTTGGGTTTTTTCCACCACTCTGCTGTGACTGAGCCGTGTTGTGCTGTCAGTGTCTCATCAGCCCTTGCAGCCACATCCACAGCCCTCAAGGCCCCTCCAACTGCGCTGCAGTGATGAGGTCGGAAGCCAAGCAACAGCTCAGCAGGAACTTGCTGGCAATCACAGCAGGGAGACTAGTGAACTGGTCTGGTTTGCAGGTGCAGGACTGTCATGTCTCAAAGCAGATTGTTCCGAAGCAAAGGAAAAACAGTCAAGTGAGGAAGAGAGCACTTTCCAGGTACCTCACTAACACAACCAGAGTTAAAGCTTACTGAATTGCTATACCTCAGAGTGTTTTCCCAGAGTGTCTAATAACAGCTGTCAGCAGCACCACTGGTTTGCTAAGTCCTGAATGTTCTCATTCCTTGTGACAAGCCGAGAAAGCAACACTGAGGGGAACTTTGCATCTCAAGGTGCTTTTCTCTATTTGTCCCTTTTGCTATCCTGTTTTTCTATAACATGGGAAGTTTCCATACCACTGGCTGTCTACCCCTCCAGCAAGTCTACAGGATGAAAGTGAAAAAAAAAAACCGGCTGCAGCCTTAGATCAACAGATTGGGGAACTAGCTGCTGTGGCACATTTAGTTGAATGATGGGAGAAGCAGCTGTTTACTTCTTTTTTAGCTCTTAGCCAGAATACTCTCTATAAAACTCTGACCATCTGTGTAGGAGACCTAAGTTCCTGTATTCTGAATGCAAAGTGGCAATTGTCGTGGCGAAAGTTGTTACAGTGAGCCACTGCCTGTCTTTGGTAGAAAGATGACGGTGCTAGACCTGCCCCAGTCCATGGAGTGTGACAGGCATCCTAAGGAGCTCCTGTCCCAGTTCAGTGATGGATCAGCTGCTTCCTTCATCATGCTCCATTGTATAAGAGTAGGACATTCGTAGCGGTATGATGTTTGTCCTCTGCTTGAAGTTTACTGAATTGGTGACTAATACGTAGCACTGGGACTTTCCTACTTGCTGCTGTTTCCCCAGCTCTTAGACATGGGGAAATTTGCTGTAAGCTGAAGAGTTTGAGGTTGGCTGCTTTTCCCCAGCTCAGCTACTGCTGGTTTCACTTGCAGTGAGCCACCCACACAGCAGAAAGAACTATAATGAGGTGAGAAAGCACTAGACTGTGTTCTGGGGGTAGAATTTCCACATCTGGCTCAGGGTTATAACCACTCCCCAGTTCTTGTCTTGATGCCGTAGAGTTGCTGTGAGGACCACAAATGCACTGGCCATGGAGGCAGTGCCTGTGGTGAGTAGCCAGCTGAGGTCTAGAGGAGCTGGCTCATACTGTGCTGCAAATGCTGACCAGTGCATGTGTCTGGGAGGCCCTGGGCTTGAAGGTTGTGCAGGGCAGTTTGCTGCTAGGTGGTCTGCCCCCTCTGCTGCCTGGCTGAGGTGCTCCAGAAGCACATAGTATGCTCCTACACAACATGATAGGGGCAATGAAGCCATGATGTGCCTTGTTTCCTTCACTAGAGCAGGAATTAGGACCCACAGTTTGGTGTGTGCTGCCTATTTTGTGGCCTCATTCTGAGCTGTGCTGGGCCCCTGCTACAGACAGCAGGGGTGTCCAGAAGCATCATGGATTCTTCCCACTTCTGGTCAAGCCACCTTTCTTGTTCTTATGACTTAAAAACCTTCAGCTGTGCTCCTATATTGGGTTTCCATAGCAAGATTTTGTAGCAGAGGGGGGCTACAGTGATGGCTTTTCTGAGAAGTAACCACCTTCTCACCTTTTCTTTTACAGACACTGTATATTGCTGCCAGTGACATGAGAAGTCAGCAATTGTGTCAGGACTGTGTGTTCTGTGGTTTAGGGACACAGCCAGCCATCCCCTGCAGCTTGCTGTGTGCCGTGTGAGCTGTTTGCTTTGCTTAAATGTGCTGCCACAGTCAGAGATTGAAGACAGCTGGTGTTTTTCTCTCCCTGTAAGAGGTACCAGAAGCCACCCAAGGCACACTCCACTGCTGCATCCAGCCCCAGGTGTGGAAGAGCTGCTGTGAAGCTTTGCAGCCAGGCACCATAGGTGGGACATGCTGATTTTTGACAGCTCTGGTAAACTGAAGCTCCATCGGATCCAGGTGAGGCTCTTGCCATAAATAGCTATGTGGCAGCAATAGAGCTCTGGTCTTGGTGCATCCTTGTTTGTAGAGATCTGGAGACAAAGCTGATAGATGTTGCTTCTAATAGGGTCAGGCTCTGCCAACGTGCATGAACGGAGCAAGGAGTTCTGCCAGCTCTGCTGACTCGAGTGAGCTCTGTGGGAATGCATGACTGCCTTGCTGACCTCATGCAGAGATTTTTTGCATGGTGCAGGGAGTTGGGTTTGAGCCTGAACAGAGCTGTAGGTTTCTGTTCCAGATGGTCAGAGTGAGTTCACGGGCACAGTCATTCCTGTTTCTGTTTACCAGAATGTGTCTGGTGATTTCCTAAGAGAAGATACAAGACTCTGTGCAATCTCCTCCATGCATGCAAGACATACATAATCACAGCTCTGTGAAGGTAAGCTTTTTTTCTCTGTCAGAAGCCAAAGTGATGTCCTCTTACTACAACCTTCATGTAGAATTCACGCAGGTTCAGACTTGATGGATATTGGGGAAAACAAGAGACTGAGCCCAGTGTTGGCAGCTACGAAAACTGGCAAAGGCAGAAGGGAGGCAGGAGGGCAGGGTGCTGAGGTCTCTGCAGATGGCACTCAGCATTCCCCAGACTGAAAGCAATGCACTTCTCCCTCTCCTGCAGCATCCTGTGTCAGCTCACAGCTACCACCTGGGTAGCTTTGGTGTTTTTCAACCTGCCGCTTTGCTGACTAACACCTCCGCTTTCTGCCTGGCTCATTCATATTTTAGCCCATTTCCTGAGCTTTGTGGTGGTTTCTTCTATTGCTTTCCCTTCCACTAGAACACTGTTACTCATATCTCAGCTATTTTTCTCCTATTGTAATGTATGATTATCTTCCTCCTAAATGTCACCAGCCAATATAGGTGACTTTGACCCTAGAGTTATGCCAGGTCTGTATCTTTGATGGTGCTGAGGATATTGGTTTAACTCCATTGTGACAGGAAGAAAATACAGAGGTAGTACTGTTTGTAGGGAGTTTTTTCCCCATATCATGAACTTGATAACTGCAAGTGTGACTAGTTCCCTCTCCTACAGAAAGGAATTGTCAGCTCTGATTGTTATTTTCTCTGTATGTATTCTTGCTGATAAATACCTACAGATACCTACCCTTTTTCTAGTCACGGCAAAATGTTTTTGGGTCATGAATAACTCTAGCAGAATCTACCAAGCCTTCCCTGGTGTGCCCTTCCCACTTGCTTCTTGGTGAATGTTGCCACTGCAAGCTGGGCTGAGATTACACTTTTAGTGAGTTAAGTTTGATAAAAACAGGCTTTTAGGTGCAATATCTTCAAATTTATAAAGCTATTTGTCTTAGAGTGCCATCAGTGGGCTTGTTTTAAAAATTAGCTCTGTAATATCAAATGCATACAATTGCATGGTTTAAAAGCAGTGTGGTTTGTGTCAGCCAGATCGTCACTCTTTAGACTGATCACATACTTTTCCCTCCTTCTTCTGCACAAATAACAGTACTGGCATACCTTGGAGAGTCCTGTGTAATCAGGGAGTAAAAACTGCACCACTGTCTTGGTCTGCTATCCTCACAACAGAAAGGTATTACTAACTGCCTAGGGAATATCTAGCTTAGCTGCTCAGCCTCACTGACCCTGTGCTGTCCCACACTGCACCCAACAGTGGTGACAATCTCCATGACCCACAGGCAGCATCAGCTAAGGCTAGTCTTTTCTAGAAGCTTCCTGACACTGTGCCTGTAAGTGATTCACAAAGCATACAGAAGGGAGAGCTGGTCTCTTACAGAGACTGCTCCAAAACAGTGTGAGGAGTAGCTTCTGCACTAAGTCATGGGACCTTCTGCATGCATATTCTAACAGCATAACCAGCCCAGCTACCAGCAGCTACCAGGGAAACATGGTCGAGAACCACTTGCCCTGGACTGAAAGGTCTAAAATATCTGTTTTTTCCCAGATGGGGAAAAAGAGTGGGTCAGAGGCATGGAGGGCTGAATGTGGAGCCCCCTCATCCTGCACCCTGCTGCTTTGTGCCAGCTTTACTGCTGCAGTCTTCTTGGGTTATTCCAGCTCCTTGTTCTTTACCCTCCTACCACCACACTATGCTGTGTGTGCCAAATCCCTCCATAGTGCTGCTCGTTTCCCCCTTGGCCAAGGATACAAGTATGCCTGGGCTCCTTGCAGCCCCTTTTAAGATAGGTGTAGGTGAGTTGGCTGGACCTCCCTCAGTGTCAGCCTTGCAACCTGCAGAGCCCCAGCCCAGACACAAGCTGTAGGCATGAGATAGGGCAGGGGTGAGCCCCTCACCTGTGTAGGAGCCAGACCACATCACTGTCTGTTGTCTGAAGATTGGTGGTGTTGCCCTGGTCCTGGGGCCATTTTGGGGATGGATGGAAGCTGAGCACAGTGGTGCTTGGCAGTCTCCAATGTGGCACATGCTGTGCTATGCAGTTTGGCTTAGCCCTCTAATGCCATGACACTGATGCCTCCACTCTGCAAGGGTCTTATTCCACCAGCCCCACTATGACCTTTTAGCTATGTGAGTTTTTATCGTCTCTCCCACCCTTTTCTCATGTAAGAGATCAGAGCAGTACAGTAATAAATATTGTGTGGGTGTTTGGACCTGAATTCATCACCTCCTCTCACCACATCCTTCTGTCAGCACAGTAATACTGATACAGTAGTGACGTCAATCCCCATTTATCGCTGTGTATTCCAACACACAACAGCCCTTGGTTGTTCACAAGTAGGCTTTGTTCTTAGTGCTGATGAGACCCCCCTTCACCCCAGCTCCTGTGCAAGTGAGGTCTGCAGTCACAGTAATGATTTAGCCAGGCCGGCCATGGAAGTGTTGGAGGGCTGAAATGCACAGGACAGGGCAGGTAATGTCCATGTTTCCATCAGTTTTCCCTGCTGCCAGTTTGTTGCTGCTTGATATCTGCAACTTCACTGTAAATCTTTCTTATAGCTGACATACCCTTTGTGGCCTGCCTGTCATTGCTGTTGGCCTCTACTGAACAGCCAGAGCATTCCCGTCTCCCTATTGCTTCAGCTTTGTGATTAGATGACAGTGTATATTGATAAGGAATTTTTTTCAAGAAGAGAGCTTCTTTGGGCATATAACTGGTGGACTGTGTCTTCCACTCTTTTTGAGCTTGGGTGTAGCAAAACTCATTTTCTCATGCTTGGAAATATCCTCTTTTATTTTTTCTTTTTTTACCTAAATTGAGTTCTTAATTAGTTTTTGTTTGGGTTGTTTTGGGGTTTTTGTGCATCCTATTTGTTTGTTTGTTTGCTTGGGGAGGGGGGTTGTTTGCTTCTTTGGGGTGGTTTTTTTTTAATTTGTTTTTTGGAATTTTTGTAAGTGCATACATTTCCTGAAAATACTTCAAATTGAGAGCTTAAAGTGCATCCCTCTTTGGCAGCTTATAGTATTGTATTTCTAGATCCTTAACAAAAAATAATCTTCATAAATGTCTGTGTCTGTATTGATCCTATTTCCTATTCTCTAGTGTATTAAAACCTTGTAGCATCATTTATATATGCATGTCTATATGAACGCTGATCAGTTCTATTGCTGTGGTCTTGCACACTGTGTCCTAGGATACTACAGAGTTAGCAGCAGTGGCACTAAGCAGCTGTACAATGCTTGATGTTTTATAAGAATTAAGTGACTATGTTTCAAGGCTGCGTAAAGCTGACTTGGAGTCCCCATTTCATAGACAGAGATGGTCTGAATGAGGTGGTAGAAAGGACTTTTCTAATGCCAGGCAGGGAACAAGCTCCTACCTCTGCTCATTGCCCCTTTGCCGTTCCTCCTTCCAGGTGAACAATCATGTGGTGACAGATGGAAGCAAATGGGTAAGCGTGTAACAAATGGAGGGGTGTAGGAAAGGTGGGGATCTCCATCACAGACTGGGATTGAGGTTTGCAGGGGGCCTGACTGGAGAAAGCTTCAGAACAAGGGCAGCTGTACATCTCCATTGAAATAATGAGGTTTTTCAGAAAGTGAAGTTCACAAAGACACTTCTGCAGAGCTGCAGCTTTCCCAGCTCGTCTGCCCATGTCTCGTCTGCCCATGTCTCGTCTGCCCGTGTCTCCTCACAACCTGGAGCACATCCAGGAGATCAGACACAACATTGACACTGCCTATGGTGCTCTCAGAGATTGCAGTCCTTTCCCACAACAATGAGGTTGGAGAACTCTGCAAGAGGAGGAGATAAGTGTTCTACTAATCTGTGGGCACTGGCAAGGGTAAGAGATGGTAAAGTGAAGTCCCAAGTGAGGAAGTGTTGTCTCCTTGCTTTACCTATGTTAGCAAATCCTACTGCTTTTATTTTTTTTTTTCCACTGTGTTCTTATTCAGGAACCTCCCCTCTAGATTACAATGCTGTCTGTTAATCTCCATAAAACATCTTCCCAATGAGCTACTTGTGTTTCTCGCTTTGAATTTTCCCTGTTCAGTCCTTCCTGTCTCATTGGGTTGATGGTACTGCTCTCTGAGGACTGGAAGGAAAGTAGGGGAGACACTTGAAAGAAACCATAGTCCACTAGGTAAAAGCAGCAGACCTTCCTTCATTGCTCTGTTCATTTAGGCAAGATTGGAGGTAAAATGAGGGAGGTACAGCAATCTCATGGATATAAAGTGGCAGAGGCCCTGCCAATTGGATTCTGAAACAAGTAGTGGCTCTGCCGACCTCTCTGAGGACCCAGCCCTTCCTTTCTTCCTCTGCTGAAGAAGAGGCAGCAAGTTGCCTTTCTTGGCCTTCCAGGGTGGCCAAGACTGTGGAGTATGACAGTCACAAAACAAAGTAATGCTGAGATGGGCTTATGGTACACCCAGTCTTGGCATGAGGTTGGATGAGCAGGTTTCAGATGGCAGGATAACAGGTCTTCCTCAAAGGAATGGGGATTTGGAGCAGAGCAGTGGAAGGATGAGTGGGAGTACAAGGTGGGGTTAGACAGTGGGTGGTATCTCAGTGACCAGGAAGTGCACCACCAGAAGTACTGGTAAGAGCAAGAGTTATTATACAGAGGAAACTTGGAGGGCTGGGAAGGTGATGTACGATGCAGAAAGAAAGACTGGAGTGTGGGGGAAGAGAGTTTCTGTCCTGCCACTGGCAGCAGGTGAGGGAGGCTGGCAGGATGCCTGGGGCTCCTTGCTGAGCAGGAACAGTACTTCCTGGGCAGAATATGTTTGGCAGGAGAGGAGGGGCAACAGCCGCACCACTGCTCCCACTGCAGGGCTGAGTGCTGCAGCCACTGAATGTCTGTGGCACCTCCAGAATGAGTCTCGCTGATCTGCTCTGGCACCTGGGGAGCACATCCCTGAGCTCACGCAGGGCTGCAGGGGCTTTCTGCTGGCTGCTAAATTTATTTGCTTTCATTATTTGAGTAAACCTGGGAAATTTTTTAACACCACAGATGTTCCCCACGTGGTAAAGGCCTCACTGGCTTCTCTCTGCTGAGTGACTGTTTGGGTGTTTGCTGCTGGTGGTAGAGGCAGCACAGGTACCCAAGGACCTGGATACCTGCAACCCTCCATATCAGTACAGGCTGAGGGATAAATGGATCAAGAGCAGCCTTGCTGAGAAGGACTTGTGGGTGCTGGTGGACAAAAAGCTGGATATAAGCCATCCATGTGCACTGGTAGCCCAGAAACCACCTGTGTCCTGGGCTGCATCCCCAGCAGTGTGGACAGCAGGTTGAGGAAGGGGATTCTTCTCCTCTACTCTGCTCTTGTGAGACCCCCACCTGAAGTTCTGCCTGGAGCCCTGGGACTCCCAACATGAGAAGGAACATGGAGCAGCTGTACTGAGTCCAGAGGAGACCATGGAGGTGCTCCAAGGACTGGAGAGGCTACAGACAGGTTGAGAGAGCTGGACTTGTTCAGCCCAGAGAAGAAAAGGTTCTAGGGAGACCTTATTGCAGCCTTTCAGTATTTAAAGGGAGCTGGTAAGATATGGACATAGTTTTTAGCAGAATCTGTTGTAATAGGACAAGGGGTGATTGTTTTAAATTAAAAGAGAGTACATCAGACTATGTGGCATGGCACCAAAGTGCACCAGCACAACTATTCACTGCAGTCAGTGCTGTGCATTGTTCTCTTTTGTGCCACCTGGGAGATGGTTTTTTTTTCTGGTATGTCTTTCTGGAATCCCTTAACTAAATATTTCATGTTTATTTAACCATGGGTAGGCCAGATCAATGACTTCTCACCAGCCTTGCTCATAAAGATCCACAATGACCCTCGGACTGCCCAGATGTTTAACCCTCAGCAATGTCACTTCTCATAGTGGCAAGCCATTTCTAGTTGCAGGAAACTAATGAATGAAAAAAATGGGTTAGCACTTAACCCAAGAGCCTTTCCTGTTGCATAGATAGCCTAAGGCTGCAGTCACTGCTGCTTTCTCTGTGCACATGCTGGCAAGGAACAAGGATTTCACTGACCTCGCTTGTGGCCAGTTGGCAGGGCTGTTGGTCATCCCTCCCTTAGCCCGTGAAGTAGATACATGACACAGCAAAGCTGAAATTACTCACCTAAATAAAGAACTTTTAGACACTTAATGAAAGCAAGATTACTTCTGCCTCAACCTTCATTGTATTAGTAGATGTCTGAGCTGAGCTTTTAATTGATTGTGGGGGTTTTGTTTGTGTTTTTCTTTTTTTCTTCCCTCCCCCTTCCCCCCAGGCTATCCAGTCAGAACCAACATGAGGAACAAACGGTGGCTCCAGAATATTTCGTTCTTCCTTTTATTCCAATACAGTAAGTTCTCAGATATTTCTTCCAGGCTGTACACCCACAGGATTTATCTTGGTGACAGTTGTTGCCAGCTCTGATGAGATGTGCATGAGACAAGGTTGCCATGGGACAGCGAGCACAAGATAAGGTGGCAGGGGAGAGAGTTCGATGGGATAAGGAGTGGAGTACAGGCATATAGGAAGGTGCACAGCTGGGCAGAGCTCAGCTAGGCTGCAGACTGCTGCGGGGAGCAGCACTAGCAGGGAGAGTGCAGAGACAGTGCTCGGCTTGCACTGAAATGTCTCCTAGTGACATTAGAGTAGGATTTCCCCCACCAAAAAAACCCTTTGCTGTAGCAAAGATTCTGGTGGCCAAGACCACAGCTTATGGTTGCTGTTGGCAGGCCTGCCAGGGACAGTGGAGTGAACCTCTCCTGGCCTGAGCCCCTTAGCTCAGGACTGGACTGCGTAGAAGGTCACCCACCCTTTTTCGATGGTTCCTACCCACACTGCAAACTCCATATGACTCAGAGCTGACTCTCTGAATGGGTCAGCTGGACAGGAAAAGGCAGTGACAACCGTGTCTGCAGGGAAATTTATTATCTTACTTGCTGCTTCTAGGCAGAGCATTGGACCTGCTCCAATTAAACCTAAGTTAATAGAAAAGATGCGTTCAGAGTTATATCTTCCTGTCATATGGGACCATTGTGATGTTTGGTCTGAATTTTGTGTGATGCAAGCCAGGGAATTACTGTGTACTAATTTCACTTTGGATCAATCTAGATCTTACTGTTAGAAGTATTTGAATTTTGTTTCTGAAGCTGTCAAAGACAGACATTTCATCCTAGATCTAACTGGGTTTAGGACACTTAATTATTTCTTTCCCAGTAAAAAGTTGTCCTCTTAATTTTGTTAACAGGTTCTTGGCCAAAGATACACTTGCAGCTTACCAGCTACCTAGGAATGGTAGTCCATTTGACTAATTAGCATAATAGCATAGAAGAATGCTAATTACTAATGCTAACAGCTTATTAGTACTTGCTGCCCTCTCTTAAGGAAAGCAAGAGGTTTCTAACCCCATTTTTGTAGGAGAGTAAAGTTAGGCTAAAGGAGAAAAAGTATGTTGCTCAGGACTTTGGACCAAACAGTGCTTGGACCAGGACCCTCAGAAAAATCTATTGAGGGCTCAAAATGAAAAGAGAAAAATTAATGAGAATTTTAGAACAAAATTCTGAAGTCGGTGTGAAATGAAAAAGTCAAAATGAAAAAAAGTGACACCCATATCATTTGAATAATTTACAGTTTAAAAAAGCATATGTACATCCTTGGGGCTCATCTGTTGCAAATATCCCCCAATTTCTTCTGTCCCTATCCTAACTCTTTGGAGAAATGGGTCTTGTATACAACTCTGAGTGCTGCCCAGAGCTCACATATGGAGAGCAGGGGGACTGGGAAGTAAATGTTGCGATGGGTGACATCAGCAAGGAAAAGTTGGACTTTTGTTTTCCTTTGAACTTACCCTGGCCTAGAAGTAGGCTACTCCCTCCACTGGACACCCCTACTGTGCATTGGGACTGTAAATTCAGAGACAGCTTGTTTATGGGGACAGTCACTTGATCTGGAGGGTGGAACAGGTGATTTTGGTCCATCAGTGGACATGCTGCCTGCATTCCATGTTGTTGGTGGTTCTCTGCATACAGCTTCAGCTGTAAAATTGGGCGTTGTGATTGTTGAGCATATTGTATCAGTCTGCTTTCATCATCTGCAAACAACACTGAATACAAAGCATGTTGCAAAGGGAAAGGAGGAAGCAGGGAGTGCAGCTTCTCTAACCGAACAAGCAGCAGAATGACAATGAGAGGAGAGCTTGCAGCATAGTCAGCTTCAAAGGATTAAGGTGCCTGATGGCTGTGAAGTAACAACATGTTCCCATGAGTCTGGGGGCAGCCCTGATGGTAGGGGAGGACCCATACTTGATTTAATCATGGATGTTACAAACTTGAGTCTCATTCTAGCTGACTACAGTTTTATTCCCATCAAAAAGGGGTGATACTATACATGTCAGAGATGAACGGTCACTGCAGGAGGCATGGTTTGCACCAGCATGGCATGCTGCATATCATGCAGGCCTTTCCTCACTTAGCCATTCCTAGGGTACTGGTGATAGTTTTAGTCAGTCCAGGGTGCTGTTAGGAAAGGATTCATCAATGCAGACACTTCTCATTGTGCTGCGTCTTCCCTGCCTTGAAATCCAGGGAGATAAGTGAAGTGTGTTGTGCATAGGACGGTGCTTTTGTACAGCACGTCAGATACTGATCTGTGAGCAGAGCTCCTGCAGAACAATTATAAGAGCATAAATGCTGCTTTGTGACCACTTTCAAATGATTTAGTTTTCTTAATGACCTGTGTAAATTCTACAATTGCCTCTGAAATTCTCTTTAGAAGTAATTAAATTGTGCCTATCAGAATGATTTACAGAAATTATAATAATTATAAATTTGCAATCTTTCTCCAAAATTTCATGAAAACCATCAAACCTCTGGAGCTGGACATGAGACGTATTGATGCTGCAGATATCAAGCTGTAGCAAATAGATAGGCAATGAAAGAATTACACATTTAAAAAAAAAAAAAGGTGGTATTTTAGTGAAGTGCCATGAAGATGTTATATAATAAAAACTAGACTAACAAAGAATAGTACTCAATTTAGGAAGTGGGATCATAAAAATGTTTGAATATGGTACTGCTTCTTGCTCGGGTATCATGCCTATTCTATGTGCCATATAAGTGAAGACCCTTGCCAAAGCAAGTGACTCTGCTGTAGTGAGTGTATGAGAAGAGACAGGGATAAATCTGAAAATTCAGTCACAATTTGAGCACTTTCTGATTTTGGCTGCTACAGTATTATTAATAGATTTTTGTTTGACATTTACCTTGCTGTCAATGATTTGTCATCCTGTAGAGTTGGAACACATCTTACACCCCATGACTGGAAATTTTTGTAAGGGCAGGAGGAGAGCTGTCACAGTGATCTGTTCCCTTCAGATTTAGTGAGAACCCTGGGACTGCATATGTTGATATGAAGTTCTACTTGCTTTATCATGGAAGTTGATACTGTGTTTTGTCTTTCCAAATCTACAGCTGTGTGTGGTGAAAACCTCACTTGTTTTGTGGACTACGTACAAACCCTGTCCTGTATCCTGAGAAATGACTTGGGTGCTGGCTCATACAACCTCACTGCAACATGGTATGTCTTGGTAGGATGAGCAAAGTCCAGTTAGGAGGAACCTCTTCATGGTCATAGCACAATGGTGACCTTCTGTCCTCTTTGCTCGGTAGAAATCCTGTTCTTGCTGATATGCTGGTTTTTTACTTGGTATTTCACACTTCGGCTACCAACTGACTTCTCCCTTAGCAAAGGACCCCTGGTTCCTGTCTCCACTGGCTGCTTCACTGACTCCAGCTTCCTTAGCATTGCCTGCTCTCTTACCATGGGAATACCTTGCCCTTTGCTGCTGTTAACAGTGAACTTTCACCCATATGCATTGGCAGGGCTCATGCAGGTTGTCCAGTTGCATATGGCTGCTGTTCTGCCCCAGCAAGGGAGTGGATGCAGTCCTGGGTTGTGCAGCCCTGAGGAGCATCTTTCATTCTGACAAACACTTTTCTACTTCTCTCAAAGATACTAAGCTAAGCAAATAGAAAGGGGAAAACATCTGTCAAAGTTAAAAGACAAATTATTATTTGAACATGTTGATTTTTTTTTTAAATCAATTTCTACGCCTGATGGTTCAGCAACAAATTAATACAACTACAGTATGTGGTAGATGTGGACTTATCTGTTCTGTATTTTTTAGGAATCCAGAGGAAGATCCAGAAAATACTATGGCTGCGTGCAGTCTCCTGGAATTGTCCAGGAACACCAGTCACACAGAGTACACATGCACTGTGGACATGACTGAACTCCTAGGAGATACCAAAGTCCAGGTGGAGGTTACAGAGGTAGCTGATAGACAGCAAGTGATTTCCAAAGACTTTTATTTGTCAGACAACAGTAAGTACAAAAATGGTGGATTTGATAAATGCTATCTGACTTTGTGCCAGGATAGTCTGGGCAAAGAGTGAGCATGGCAGCAAGTGGTGGGGGCTACATTTGGTGTACACTCATTTACACAGAGCACTGTGCTCTTATTGCCACTATTATGCTTGAGGCTGAGCTTAGAGCTGGCTTAGTCCATGCCTTTCATAGGGAAATTCATGAAGCAGTAGGTGATAAATTTCCAGGTGATAAATTAGACCAGTCTCATACCTAGATTACTATGCAGGAATTTGTTCTTGGCTGGATTCTAAAGGGCAAGAGGAATTGTTTTATTGCAAATGTCACCAGTCATAGAATCCTTAAAATGGTTTGGGCTGGAAGGAACCTTAGAGATCATGAAGTTCCAACCCCATGCCACGGGCAGGGACACCTTCCATTAGAGCAGATTGCTCTAAGCCCTGTCCAACCCAGCCTTCAACACTTCCAGAGATGGGACAGCCACAGCTTCTCTGGGCAAGCTGTGCCTCACCACCCTCACAGCCAAGAATTTCTCCCCAATATACAATCTTACTCTGCTCTCTGTCAGTGTGAAGCCACTCCCTTTTGTCCTATCAGTACAAGCCCTTGTCAAAAGTCCTTTTCCAGCTCTCTTCTAATCTCAAAGGAGTTCCAGAAGGTTCTTGCAGTGGACACCTGACCTAGCATGACATTATTTTGGGTGGCACAAGGTGTCCCAGATGCAATGGATGTAGCAGTTCCCCTTTATGGGGCAATTCCTAATCATCTTTCCTGCATGACAGGAAGATTGAATGCAATCATGTAGCTGACTTGGAATGCTGATATGTTCTGGTTGTGTAGCAGACTGAAGAAAAGTGGTTAGTCAGGCAGATGAGTACTGTGCAGGAATATGAAAAGGATTTTTCTACTTGGATTCTTCTGAAATGAAACTTTACTTGAAAAGTGTTTTCTTTTTGACAAATGCCATAACGTTTCAGGAAGCCCCCTTGACTCCACTGACAGACTACAGATTGGGCAGTAGTGCTTTGCATACCTCCTGAAGGTCCCCATCCAGAGGCACTGTAGCTCAGTGGTAGGCCCTGCTGGAGTTTTGCGTTACTGCTTTTCCATACATGAACATGCCCTGCAGGGATATAAAAGCTTGGGTTTTGGGCACTTAGGACACAGGGAATTACATTGAGTTTATGCAGTGTCCCCTTGCCCTCAGCTCTTCCTAATGTCTGTTACATTGAGGGGTATTTCCCCAATTTTTCAAGTGAAAATGACCTCATTGAGTCCTCTTATGTCATGAGAAGAACAAGGTGCTCTACTCTTTACATCTACTGGGAGTTATTATCCCCTCTACTATCTTCTCCTGCTCCTTAAGCAGTGAGGAGGTTCAGAGACAGGCAGAAGGTATATTCAGTGAAAACCTGGGCCTGACTTCATTATGCTGCTCAGGTGTGAGGTTCTGTGCATGGCTGAGGGGCAGGAATGCTGTGGATGTTCTCCTGTATGAGGAAGGCCCACGTGTGCCAGGGCAGTTTTGCTCCCTACTTGCTCTGCATTGCTAATACCAAGCTGGGCCATCTTGTCTGTAGTAATGTTACGAAAGGTAACACCATCCTGTCTTCCAGTCAAACCACAGCCTCCATTCAACCTGACCACTTTGTTCTCAGAGGGTTACAATATTTCTTGGGAAACTACCTACCAGAAATCTCCCTTCCACTTTTTGAATGAGGAGCTGGAATATCAGCTGCGTTATAAGAGAAGAACCGATACCTGGGAGGTAAGTGAGATGTCAGTTTACCATCAAGTAGGATGTACCGGAAAAGAGGAGGCCAGCACAACCAGGATGGCAGCACTGGTGTAGAAGAAGTGTTTTCATGGTTTAGAAAAGATGTGTTTTTTCTGCTTGACTGGACTGAAAACAGGCAAACCCAAAAATTAATCAAGAAGCAGAATTTGTGTGAGAAGTACTAGTTCCACTCCACTAGTAAGGAGAGTGATCATTCATTTGATTCTCATGCTCTGCTGTATGGAAGGCTCCCCAGTGGCTGCATGCAAGACCAGCCAGAGCGTGGCCTTGAAGAAACAACATAAAAGCAGGGGAGGTTACTTTGCAGGGCTCCTCACTGTGCAGCAGTGAGGGGAAAGTGAGAACAGTCACTCTAATCCTGAGTGTTTGGTGTTTAATCATTCACAGACTCAGAAGACTAAAGCTGTTCATGAAGATAAACGGACACTGGTGATCCTACCATGGGAACTCCAGGTGAACACTGAGTACGAGTTCCAAGTGAGAGCCAGACCCCGGGAAGACAGTGGCTACCGTGGGTTTTGGAGTGAATGGAGTCTTCCACTGTCACTGAAAACCAGCCCTGCCGGTACATGCTAACTAGCTGTCCTTGCCCTTCCAGTTAGTCCAGTGTCAGAATGCTTTCAGAACTCTAATCAAATCTAATTAATCAGAACAAGTTCTAAATAGTCTAGACAGGTATGTTAGCTTTCTTGCTGAGTACAGGAACCCCAGGCCTGGGCTGTCAGTATTGATGTTCTCCCATGGAAAAGGATTTGGTGGGCTTGGCTGTAGGTTTGGGTTCCACAGCAAGAGTGTAGCCTCTAGCTTCATTTTCAGTGTCAAATGTCCAGGGTCCTGCTTGCAGCTTTCAGAAATGAGGGAGATCTCCTTCTACTGGGGCTTAGTGTTGTCTTCAGCTGGAGGGAGGGAGATCCTGCTCTCAAGTCTGGGTTTGGACTCTAATGGTTGGTCATGCTGGCCACGGGTTTTGTTTGGTAGCCACCACTCCGCAGCACCATTTCACAGTACCTTATGCACAGAAGTACACTGATGCTTATCGCCATGAAACAAAGGCTATGAAAACAGGGAGTCTTTCAGGGCAAGATGACTGCAGTCAATGTCAGCAGCATGTGCTGAGCTTCCCTGCTCTCATTTATCTGCAGCTCAAACTGAAATATTACAGGGTTTACATGGTGCTGTGGCAGCGGGGCCAAGCTCTATTTGCTCCATTTCCAGATATCCAGAAGGGATTGGATCTTAAAGGTGCATCTTTTCACCACAGGTGGAGAGCGGCCACCAAGCAGTCAGTCAACACCATTTCTTCACATATTTCTGACCAACTGCTCTCTTCACTTCATGGATCATCTATGAGGTGTCCCTAAACAAGGAGTCAGAAACATCAGTCTTTGTGGAAGAGCTGTCCTGCCCCAAATTTGTTGGCTGTGTGTGGTGCAGCCAGGCCATGGGGCAGCTGATGCATTGCTCCTTTCATTGATGCAGTCTTCTCTGAGCATTCTCATTCAGACCTCATGTCTGGAGTACTGGGGCCCAGGTAACAGCCTCAATGTCCATATGAGAGAGTCTGGGGTAGAAACTGAGAGTGTCTCAGAATCATTTATGGTGGAAAAGACCTCCAAGATCATCAGGTCCAACCTGTGACTGATCATCATTTTGTCAACCAGAGCAGAGCACTGAGTGCCACATCCAATCATTCCTTGAACACCTTCAGGGATGGTGACTCCCTTGGGCAGACCCTTCCAGTGCCTGACAAGCCTTTGCATTGCAAATACCCTTTTTCTCCTCACCATCTCCTGCTTATTGACCAGATGATAAATACAAGGTGAGCCTGAATGACCCTTCTCTTTTTTCAGCAGTAACACAAACAGCAGGCATGGGATGGCTGCTGCTGTTTGGTGTTGTTGTGTCAATCATGGCTTCAATCGCAACCTTTCTGGCCAAACAACAGAGGTAAGAATGCTTCAGGAAGCATGAGTAAATGCTCTTATTCTATCTTGATAAAGATGGGGTGTTCACAGGCAGACTTCTTTGTATGGGGAGCATGGGCTGCTATGGGCTTGTGAGGACCAGCCAAGTATGGTCTCTAGCTGATTTCCTGCTGGGAATGAGCCCCTCTGGGGCTCTGCTGCCATTCAGCTGGTCGGGACAAGACAGTGGCACATAGAGATGAAGCAAGGGCCACCCAGCCTCCTGAGCTGCTCTCCTGGTCTTATCTGTGCTCTGCAGCTGCCAGATGGAGCAGTAGCCAGGACTGGCCTGCCCCTTTTCAAAGCTGACATAGGCCCCTCAGTGCTGGCTGGGGGCTTCTCTCCCTTTTGCGGTGCTGACACAGAGGGCTGGGCTTGTGCAGCAACAGGGCTGGCACAGCCCAGGTCCACAAAAGAATTGCATAGGGCAGAGATCTGATGTGTAGACCACAAGCCAGCTCAGCCTGAGGGGAAAATGCATTTCCAGCACTTGCTGTTTTTCCAGGAAGAAAAAAAATTGGAATCTCTTTCCGTAGCATGAATATGTATGTGCAAGTGCTGAGGTCCCACCTCCTATGAGGTTCACAAGAAAGGCCATTAGATGCCTCTGGCAGCACAAGGCATCCTTGGATCCTCAGCCACTTGTTAACTCATGAGGCTGGGCAGGTGATTTCAGTTGCTTGAAGGGATCTAGAGATGCCTTGCTTTGCATGGGTAACATGCTTAACACCAAAGCCTTTCTTTTTTTTCTCTTCTAGCTTTTGGAAGAAGATGGCTTGTATCCCAGACCCTGCTCCCTTTTTCAAACCTCTTTACTTGGCGCATAACGGAGATTTCAAGGTATAATTGGGCTACACAAGAACATGTGGAGTGGAGAACATGACAAACTTACAGGCCATTGTGCTATCCTGGGCAAGGGATTCTCTTTAGGGCACTAGGAGGGGAAATCTATCTCAAAGGAATGTCAGAAGGCTCTAGATATAGGGACCAGGGCTCTCCAGTGCCACGAAGACTTTTATGTCATGTCTGTACTGCTTATTCTCTGTAGGTGCTGTCTCAGTGTATGAGCTGAGTTCATGTGATTTGTGAAGACTGGGATCCTGATGGGAGTCAAATACTTAGGGATTTTTCCAAAGCTCCAGTCCCATGGAGACACAAAGGCCATGGAACAGACTTAATTGTAAAGCCCAGATTTCCCACTCCAGGCTCTGATGTGACAAAAGCTCAACATTAAGCACTATAGTTCTCTCTGAAGAGTCACTCATGTAGGTAATATTATGCATATTGTCCTGAAAGGATGTCCAGAACTTTGGGGGGAAATCGCTGTGATAGTACAGTGCAGCTTGACTTCCTATGAAGGAATTGTCTTTGAGTAACTTTGCCTAGCCCTCCCAAATTCTCTTCTCACCAGCCAAACTTGCTTTTGTAACAAAATAGTTTGCAAAAGCTGGAGAGTTTTCTGGAGTCCTCAGGATGTGAAAGTAAAAGTACATTGAGCATCCATAAATAATTATTTTATTAAGCTGAAGAGCAGCTCACAGTCCTGTTATCAAACTGTAAAAGTGCTGGCATATGAGTGCAGATATCACTGCCTCTTTCTGAACAAGTTCCTGTTGTTACAGCAGAACTGATCAGAGACACTTCAGTGTCTGCTTTTTCTGTCTGCTTTTTCTTAGACATTCTGGGAGAGGGCCCTAATGATCTTCATGTACTTACTTTCCCACTGCTGCAAGGCTGATGTTTGTAATTAGGTTAAACAAATAGTCTTGGAGGGGTGCTATTCAGCCTGAAGCCAGTAATGACTGTCTCCCTTCTTTCCTTCCTCTTTCAGACCTGTTATGCCTTCCTATATCTGCACCAGAGGGGTACTTGCATCCTCTGATGAGGCAGCTGGTACTAGTTGCTCTCAGGGGAAGGACCAGGTGGACCCAGTGTGTGAATTCCTGAGAGTCACAGGCTAGTGCTCACGGTTAAAATGAAAGCTCCCTGCTATACCAAGAGCCATGCTCCTCTCAGGTGAAGCCTTGGGCTTCTCTGTTCTATAGGAATTATATTCTAGTTTCTACATGGGTTGTTCAGTGCTGCTGGGAAGGGAAGGAGTCTCAGTTGCTAAAGCTGAGTTACTTCCTAGGAAATTTGCAGATCAAAGCAGCAGTTGCTCACACAGCCACAGCACAAGATGCACAGGCAGGGGTATCAAGAGGATGTGATGACATCACGAAAAAGTGAACAGACTTGTCATTTTTGGCCAACAAAAACCCAGTTGATGTAGGTCTTATTCAACTGCATCCTGCCTGCATCAAAGAAATGCAAGTTTTTGTACGTTACGTCTTGTGAATAATGTTTGAAAATTACAATAGTAATGCTCTGCTGAGAGCACTCTTGGATTGGGTAGAAAGCAGTGAAAATGTTAGAGAAAAACTTGAAACATAGAAAGGAAAGCTAAGGAACATTGTTGTGTGTATGTGAGTTCTTAGGTTCATATGGAGTGGGAATTTACAAAGAACTGTCAAGAGGGAATAAGAAATATTCTGCCCACTCAATTCTAAGAAAAGGATTTTCTGCTGTTTCTCCAAAAACCCTTTTGCACCTCAGATGCCTTCCTGTCCATTATAGCTTTAATACTAAGTTCTCTGTGGCTCACGTTGAAAATTATTATTATTATTATATATTATTATTAGTGCTTCCTGCTGTAATGAAGATTTTTTCCCCCATGCTCTCTGTCAGAGGGTAATAAATTCTGTCAGGCTGTTCTCTTCCCAAATATTTTGCTCATGTATAGTTATGCTGAGTGCAGTTTGGGACAGGGGGGCCAATAAGATTAAGGCAGTCTGACAGATGTGGCAGCACTCAGTCAGAAGCCTTCATAGTGTTTATGAAGTGCGGTGTTCTTACCTATTTTATACACAACAGAAAGCAATACACTTAGAAGAGCCTTGACACAGCTCAGCCATTAGGTAAGTGGAAGACAGGGAGCAGAACCAAGTCTTGAGTCTGTGCTGTGCCTAGCCTCAGGACTGCAGAATCCTCAAGTAGGACTTGCTGGCATTCATTAGCGGGACATGTCTAAAATTTGCTGTGATCTGAATGTCTGATTCAGGGACTTCTTCAAAAGGAACATAAACTTTTACTGTTTTCTTAAATCAGAAAAATCCAGAAGTGCCTTTACTCTCAAATGTGACTGAAGGCAAGGGACGTGTGACGTAGGGAGAATACCTGGAACAGGGCACAGTGTGATGCTAATGGTGATACACAAGGGCAAGATTCAATGTGTGGCACTCCCTAATAATCTGAATAAGTATTGCAGGTGGTGGCTACAGTTCTGCGAGGACCCCAACCCCTGCCTACTTCTGCTTCCTTCTTTTTACTGTGAAAGAAAAGGCTGTTCTGGTGCATACAGAAGATCAGAGAAGCCTTGTCCTGACCCCATTCCCAGGAAACTGAGGCAGGGGGAGTGAGAGAGCAGGACTCTGTGTGTGTTGGTTGCAAGTGCAATACATGGGGAGAAGCTGACCATCCTCCCCAAGAGAAGCAGTGTCCAGGACAAGAGGGTAGGGGCAACTTAGTGGCTTGGCCTGGGACTTCAGGCTGATTGATGACAGAATGCTGCTATGGGCAGTGGCATCCTTTGCAACATAGAGAAAATTACAAAGCCATGCAAACCTCTCAGAGCTAATTATTTTCGACTACTTCAGTCAGTTCTCCTGCAGCTGTGTCTGGTAATAACAGCATCTCCTACCCTGTTCTATTGGAGGAGTCAGTGCTTTTAGAGTTTGTCTTTGCCTCTAAAAGCATAAGAACTTTGGTCATTTCTGTGGAACCCCAAAACTTGTGATACTAACCTCTCTCTCCCTGTTTGCCCTTTTCTGCAGAAGTGGGTTGGTGCATCCCATACGAAAATGACCTTTGATTTCTTTGAATGGGGAATAGTCCTTCCAGAAGTCCTCGAAGTTTACACCACGCGTCCTTCCAACAGCACCTCACGGGAAGAGCTGCATGAGCTGAGAAAGAATCTGCCTTGCAAGACCTGTGTGTCTTGCCTGACTGCTCCAGGCCATGATAGCCAGTCCCTGTGGTCTAGTGTAAACAGCAGTGGTGGGACTGAGGAGCAGTCATATGGGCATTTGTCCATTGATACGGTTACTGTGGCTGATGAATTTACATCCTGTAACTGCCAGTGCAGCTGTAACCATGTGTATAGGGGACATGAGCAAACCAATGAGGAAGATGATAGTACTGGAGGACCTGGTTACCCCAAGGTTAACATTGATGAGGAAGACAGAAAGATATCCCATGACTTGCATCTGGCTGACCTGAGCACACAGGACAAAATACTTGCTTCAGGTTCCGTGTCCATAGACCACTTGAGGAGCACAAGTGTCCCAGCCCACCAGCAAGTAGAAAGGTCTTTAGTAGGAGGAGTGGGGAGCATCCTAGAAGCCCTTTGCTTGCAGCCTCTTCGGTGGGATTTGGAAAATCCAGGTTCTCTACCTTCTCCTGATGGTGACAGTGTTTCCTACAGTGAAGGCTCCTACGACTTCTTCCCTCACAGTACTAAGCCTGGTGACAGTTACCCTACGATCTGCGTTGATTTGGACACTATTGACAGTGGCTTTGTAGACTCAGACTGTGGAAGTCCTCTTGACTGTGAATTTGGGCAAAACAGTCAGACCAACTGTGGGCCCATCTCTCTTGAGCAGGAGGGGCAGGACTTTCCACGGAGCTACGTCAAGCAGTGGGTCTCCTGTCGCTCTGACAGCCCTGTCAGTGGGATACAGGCGAACTGAGGACTTGATGTTGCTTGGCAGAGTGTGAGGCCTTTCCTTACTGTGCCAGGAGCAAAGTGTTAGCATAATTCAGAAGAGAAACAGTTTACTTTGTGTAAGCTTTCTTGCCTACAACTGAAAACTGTTAGGTCCACAGAAATACATGCCTATTTCTATTGCCACTTATCCTATTAATGTCTCAAATTTGTTATGATTGATTGTTTCTGGGCTTTGTGGGTTTTTTTTTGTTTGTTTTGTTTGTTGTTTTTTATTATTATTATTTTTATTTTTATTTTATTTTATTTTTTTAAGAGTCCTAAGTACCTTGAAAATTATCCTTTGGGTTATGTAGATGTGCAATTTTTTTTACTGTAACCTTTTGAAGATTACAGAACTTTATTTTCTCTGGTATTCTCACATGACTTGGGAGTTTGTCTGTACGTGCACTCTTAGAAGCATAACCCATGGCAAGCATGTTTGCTACATTAAAGCACCCCTACCTATTCCAAATAACATGTGGTATTACTTTTCCTACTAATGTCTTTTGGGTCTTTAAACCCAGCTGTAGTAGTTTATTAGTTATGGAGGTCCCAGACCTGTCCATGGGATATGATCAAAACGAATTCTTATGTAATCATCATAGAAATCTATGTCCAAGAGAACAAACACAATTCAGGTTTCAGAAAGACTTTGCTTTTCCAGATGGAATCTGCAAATGAAAAGTCTTCAAAACATATAATTCCAGACAAACTCTTTCTACTAGGCTGAGTCAGCTTATCTCTCAGCACTTTTCAAGCACGTTAATTGAGCAGCTTTAGAACTATTTCAAAATTTCAGAAATGTTGTCCTAGCTGAATGTGCCTGCAACTTCTGCCTTGGACTTGCTCTACTGCTGTTAACAGGTCGATAGCACAGGTTTTGAGCAATTTCTGCTAGCTAGTAAAGCCAACTATGAAACTGCAATTTGTACTATAACTGTCAGTCTGTTTCCCTCTGACATCTCTATCTCTGATTTGTTTAGGATAATTGTCTTTAAAAGTTACTGCAATACTGAAAGTGAATATGAAGACCTACATCTTATGTAGGCATAGTGCTACTAACCCAGAGGCTGCTTGGCTGTAGGAGGTCCTATCCTGAGAGAACCTTTGTGGTGGATGAGGTTTGTTTCCAGTGCAGTAAGAACCTGTTGTTGCTGTGATACCAATAAACTCTCTTCCCTCTTCTCCATCTCTTAACTGACACTGTAGGCAACTCCACAGCTCCCTAAACAGAAGGGAGTACTGTAATGAAGAGAAGCTCTTTCTTTCACAGGTGAGTGCTGTAACTGTAGTGCTATGCATCCACCTCCCTGGTTTGATTGTTCAGAACAACCATGGTATCTGCTATGTTGATTTTGGACCTACATGACTTAGTTTTGTCCATGTTGTTATTACTCTCTCAGTATACCCCTAGATCAGTGGCTTCCTGGGCATTGCTCTAGGATATTAAGCTTTTTGGTTCCTTCCTTCCCTCCTCATTTTCCATTTTTCTTGTCATCAGCTTTCATAATTTGTATCATCACATGCTGATACATCCTCCCTGCTGCACAACCAGTCCCTCGCATGTCCTCCATGAACTGCAGAGAATCACCCCAATGCCCTGATGAGATGAGCCTGCCCCACACTGTCCTACAAGGCCTCTTGCATCATGCTCATGTCAATGCAAATGTGTACTAGGCAGAAGCATTTCTGATGGTTTCAACACAGTCTTCTACAGCTTTGTCTACAGCTTTGTTTTACAGCTATTTTCACTTCAGAAACTACATTGTGGTAACTGACTCCGGCTGCTTAAGGGAAGAAGAGAAACTTGCCTGTCTTTCTATGGCCCTTTACATCTCAGTTCTTCCTGCTCTTTGTCTCTATTTGTATCATTGGCCCCAGAACTGCTGAAGGGGCTGTTTCTATTACTGCAACACTATCAGGCTGTACATCTGGTAGAAGGTGGTGGTTTGCTGCTATGTTGGGCTAGAAATTACTTCTGGTCACCCTAGGAGGCAGATTTTGTGGGCAGGTACCTAGCATAAGGGTATTAAAAATAAGGGAAGGCCATTCCCTTTGAAGCAAGCTGTAACAATTGCCCTTTGGCCAATGAATTGTTGTCACTGTGAATGTTGGAGGGGTTCGAGGTGGGAGTTTTCCAGTCTCTTAGGAGCAAACTGCAAATGTCCCTTACCTAGCAGTATCTCATTTGGAAAAATTATGTTTTCCCAGGAATGCTAGGGCCAAAAAGCAGATACTAGGAGAAGCACCATAATTTGTTCCAATTTGGAAATGTCCATCTCCATTTCTGCATGGCCTCTGTCTCCCTGTCTCTTGGCCCCAGAAGCTGATACTGACAGACTATTACTCAGTCAATTCTTTGACTGCTTCTCTCTCACCCTTCTTGGCACCAGACCCCTGTACAGGACTGACTTGATGGATCCTGGCTGTAACACTGCCATTGCAGCTGGGCATGGGAAGATCTGTTCCTCATACACTCTGGGATCAGGACACAGAAACACTACAATGCTTATTTGCCTTTGCTTCCAGAATTGCCCTTTGAGCACAGTGCAGCAGTTGGCTGTGGGGGAAGTGCAGGACAGGGCAGCTCAGGGTGCTCCAGGAGTCTGAGCATAGTTGGGCAGAGGACTTGGATGGAAGCAGTTTTGCCTCACATCCAGACAGGGCTAGAAAATGGCTTTAGGTCACTTAGAAAGCTCTTCTGATGGCCTTTTTTAATATAAAAGTTGCAAGCAGATACTTTTATATTCAGCAAATTGCCTGGCCTTTAAAATGTTAACCCTTTAGCAGAAATTCCTGTTTCTCTAATGAGTAATTGCACATACAGCTACTTTAACTCAATCTGATAATCTGAGCAGTTTTTCATTGGTTCTTGAGATTATCTTTAAAATCGGGCACAGTATGCTCTGCTTTATTATGCCACTGCTGCTACTGCATGATCATCAAACCACAAAGCCCAAACTATCAAAGGACAGAAGCAGTGCGAAAAGTGACATTTTCTTTGAGCTGGTAAGACAGTTTAACATATTTCTGTTCCATGCATGCCAGTATCTAATGTTAGGATACATCTACTAAGCTAAGATGTTGAAAAATATATTCTTGACCTAAATGTGGAATTATATATTGTTTCTTGTACTCGAAACCTAGAACAAAGGAATCATGAGAAGGGTCTCTGTGCTTTTGTTCTACTAGTTTGCTAAGCACAAAACAACACTCTTGCATTAATTCTGCTGGATTGTGCTCAAAAGAAGGACCACCTTGAAGAAATTATTTTTTAGGTACTCCTCTCCGACTGCAAGAGATTAAGGTAAAGGAATCCAGCCAAAATAGTCCTCAGTGTTTGAGACTTTGCAGGCAAAAATATACTTTTTTAATGTGTGTGTGTGTGTGTGTGTGGATATTGCTTTATTGCAGTAGTTGTCCTTTGTAGCAGGTTTTTCTCTCGGATCCAAGTATGTCAAATCTAAAAGTGTAAGGCTCTTTGTAAGCATCAAATTGTGGGAAAATGTCTCTCCAAAGATGAAGGGAGAAAAAGACTGGTTATATGGGGTTCTCTCTGATAATCTCTGTAGCTGAGAAATCCAATCCCTTTTTCCTTATTCTGCAGCAGTTGGCATTCTGATCATGTGAGTCTTCTGTGTGCACTTGATGTGCTTCTGTCAGGCATGCTCAGAGGCCTAGGTATTAAGAAAGTAGATAATTTATAGCTATTTTTTCTTAAAGGACCTACAAAAGTCTTTCCTTATAGGCAGAGATGGTTGTTCATAATGGGTACCCCTCTAATCACACCTAGTAGGATAAAGGTGAATGTACACTTAAGTTAGCCCTAGTGGATGGATGGATGGATGTACCTGTTGGTACAGACATGCTACTGCTTATCATTGTTTTACTTCATGGGTGCCAGTCAGTGTCCTGCTTTTCTGTAGTGCCTGTTGGTGCTTCCTCTGGAAGAGATGTAAGCAAAGGAAGGGATTATGGCCAAGGGAGAGCAGGTCATTTATCACTAATTACTAAGATGTAATGAATAGAAACAGTGTTCAAGGGTCCAGGTCTGCTGTGTCTGCTCCCACTGTGCATCATGCATAGAATCCTAGAACAGTGTGGGTTGGAAGGGATCCCTGCCATGGCTTATGCACGCACCTTCATGTCAAATTCTTGCTCATGCTCTTATATGACACTTCACGTTTTGTCAGGCCTTTGTAAAACTAATCTTGTCTTACCTATAATCATCCAAAAGTCAGAGATGCAAAGGTCCTATTTTGTGTCTGTCTCTTTGAACCTATTACGTTTGTCTACACAATTCTTCTATTTCTCTTCCTCTATCTCATCAAACACAAGCTTCTTGTCCCCCACTCTCAAAGTCACTGGCAGCCTCTCCTTGTCCTGTTGTCATCTCTTCTTTTCCCATCAAGAAGGGAACTCTATGATGTCAGCTTCCACCTCCCACTAGATTGTTAAATCACCTCCTCCTAATTATCCTTTATGCTACTGCTTACATATTGAAGGTACTGCCTAGAATTCGCCTGGGCTACCTCATTCTTCAGGTCTCCCTGTAAAGCTCTGCTTTACTGAGTTGCTAAAACCAAGATGATATCTAGGCTACCCACATGCTGGGACTGTGTTGTCACCTTCTTGTTCTACTTCCCCCCTCAGTGTTATCTATCAAATAATTTATTTTACCTTATAAATTCTTAAAAGAAAATATTTTTATTGTGTATTCAGCTGGACCCCAAATGTGGGGGTGAATCTGTGAATATGAATTCCTGGTAATAGATCTACTAATAACAGTTAATGATGTGCCTTTCTGTCAGTAAGCAGCTGCGAGTATTTAAAAGCAGGCAACCTGGCTAAAAAGTTGATTTATCTTCCAGTGCTGGCAGCTGCTGTAACAGCGCCTGGGCTGCTGGCACTGCGCTTCCATCTGAGCTAAGGAGACTTTGTATTATTTTTTCAGGTACTTAAGAAAGATATATAGACTACAAGTCTTGCATCATATGTTTAGGCAAGAGGTTCCAGCAATAAAGGTAGTTCCCCTTGTACAAATTCTGCACTTTGTTTCT